TGTCTTTCTTTTTTTGTTTGTTTTTTAGAAAGGGAGAGAGAGAGAGAAACATCGACATGTAAGGGACACATCAATTGGTTGCCTCCCGCAGGGCCCGACCAGGGCCGGGGACAAACCGCAACCGAGGTACGTGCCCTTAACCAAATCGAACCTGTGACTCATTGGTCCAGGGGCCAACTCTCTACCATTGAGCCCATCCGGCCAGGGCTAGATTGTATTTTTTTTTCCTTTCTTTCTTTTCTTTTTTTTATTAATTTATTTTTGTTACAGATGTTTCTCCTTTTTTTCCCCATTGACACCCTCCTCCCCATCTCCCCCACCCCCATCCCCAGCTTTGTTGTCCGTGTCCATCAGTTACGCGTATATGCATATAAGTTCTGTGGTTTATCTCTTTCCTCCCTCCCCACCCCCTCTTCTGAGGGTTGTCAGTCTGTACCCTACTTCCATGTCTCAGTCTACCCTGTTCCTCAGACTGTTATGTTCATTATATTCCACAAATAAGTGAGATCACGTGATATTTGTCTTTCTCTGCTTGACTTATTTCGCTTAGGATAATACTCTCCAGGTCCCTCCATGTCGTCTCAAAGAATAAGAGATCTTTCTTTCTTACAGCTGCGTAGTACTCCATTGCATATATGTACCACAGCTTTTTTATCCATTCGTCTACTGATGGACACTTGGGCTGTTTCCAGATTAGATTGTATTTTTCAAACAAATGAAAGTGTACAGACAATATACCAATGGCTTGCTTCTGTTTAGTAAATTTGGTATTATGTATAGTTTTTTTTTCATTCAAGACCGTGTTCTGTTGTTAGAATTTAAACTATTCAGAGTTAATAAAATAATCGGCTGTGGAATAAAAAAAAGTTTAAAGGAAGCAAAATCCTCTGATTTCTTGGTATGCTCATTCTCAGCTGTAGGAATTGTTGCATCAACACCTGAGATCTGGGGTGTCTCTCACAGGAATTGGGGTAGTTATCACAGGCAAAATCATTATTCCCAGAATGCTGTTTTTGTTGAGATTTAGTGACATCTAAATAGAAAGGGGAGCCAGCCAGTGTGGCTCAGTGGATTGAGTGTCGTCCCATACACCAAGAGGTCACTGGTTTGATTTCCAGTCAGGGCACAAGCCCGGGTTGCCGGCTCCATCCCCCGAAGGGGACATGCAGGAGGTAGCCAATTGATGTTTCTCTCATCACTGTTTCTATCTCTCTCTCCTTCTCCCTTACTCTCTCTTAAAAAAAAAAAAAAAAAAAAAAAATTTAAATACACAGAAAGGGAAGGTAGATTGTTCTCACCAAGATGCCAGGAAGTCTGTTCCATTGTCCAGACTATGAACCTAAACACAATTAGGAGCTATCTACCCACAGGAAATTAATTTGACACAAAGCATGTGATTAATGTAGGCACAATGGGGAGGTTGGAATGCCTACATAAATTGTCTCCTTTTGTACAGAATAAATTATGCACTTGCAACAACATCACTCAAGCACCAGCTCTGATCTGAATTTTCGTTTTTCTCATCCAGTGGACCCCAGTAGATTCCCGGTTCTCCTTAGAGTCTGTGCCCTCCATGCTTGCATGCTGCCCTGATGGTGGATTTTGTCTAGTAACAGCCTCCACAGCACTGTGGGGACAGACAGTCGCTTCTCCTGTCCCATGTTTTAGTGGCCGCCACCACTTGTTCATGTCTAGGACACCTGCCCCTAAAGAAAGCTGTTGTTCCTTCTCACCTTTATTTCAGCAGGGAGGGCTCTTTTTCCAGTTTCCAAACCGAAGCTGCTGTGCCCTAGGGGCCCAGGGAAGACCAGCGCCTCTCTTTCTGTTATTTGTAACACCATTATTTCTGGCTTTCCTCTACTTTCAAACTCTGCAGAGTTCTCAGACATGTCCCCTCCGGGCACTGGAGATAATCTATTTACGTGTCTTCTGTGTTACCTTGAAACTCAGAAAACACTTTAATGTTTTTGCTTTAGAAAAAAAATCTGATCTGGAATGTAAAGCTCTTTTTAATTCAAATGTAGTTGACATACAACATTACATTAGTTTCATGTGTACAACATAGTGAGATTCTACATCTATGCACCTTACAGAGTGATCACCACTAACAGTCCACAATCCATCTGTCACCGTACAAAGTTATTGTGATATTTGAACATATAGTCATATAAGTTCTGGATTCATGACCCCTTTCCAGCAGTACCCAGATTTGTTTAAGTATTCGAATCGCCTCCACAAAGTCCTTGTGTTTTCCGGAACTTAGTCCTTCTTGTAACTCTAGGAACGGTCCAGTTTGGTTTAAGCCAAGCTGTACAGTCCATTCCTGCAGCAAAAATCTCTTGTGGGCGTGTGACCTAAGCCAGCCCAGTTAGGTTCCGAGCCCTGGGACTTTTCTCGCCAAGTTAGAGGAAAGCACTCTTTCTCCCTCTACTGGTCATGAAAAAGAAAGCATGTGGCTGGCTGCCATCCTACAACCCAGGGTGAGTGAGAGAAATACAGGCGAGCACTTGTGTGAAAAATAATTGTCTTTACCAAAGTATCACCTTGGAGGATTATATACTTATTCTACAGACTAAGTGGCCAACTAATTGAGAAATTCCTCTTTGAGAATAGAGTTTCTGCGCGGCTGCTGTGGCTCAGAGGTTGAGCACGACCCCTGCACCAAGACGTTGCCAGTTTGATTCCCAGTCAGGGCACATGCCCAGGTTGTGGGCCCGATCCCCAGTGGGGGGCATGCAGGAGGCGGGCAGTCGATGTTCTCTCTCATCGATTTCTATCTCTCTCTCCCTCTCCGTTCCTCTCTCTCTAAAATCAATAAAGAAAAAAAAAGAATAGAGTTTCCGGCTGACAGCATAGTCGTTCAGGAATATATATACCTCACTGGTGGAAAAGCCCTGCTCTTTGAGGGGAGGGGTTTTTCTTTTTTCTTTATTGATGAGAGTATTACAGATGTCCCTCCTTTCTTTCCCCTGCTGCCCCCTTTTTCCTGGTTCCAGCCCTGCCATAGGCCCTTTTATTTTTTTTAAAGCTTGGAGTTACTCAGAATCAAGAATAAACAGGTGATCCGTTTGAGAAACAGTACTTATGTGGTGTTTTTTTTTAAAGGAAAACTATGTATTTGTGAGTGGCTTCCTTGTGGCTAAAACACTGGTCCTGAAGCCATCATCTCATTTTGAACCAGTATAACCACTTATGTTTATTGTGAGAAGAAAAAAATCTTCACTTCTTAATTGCGTCTTGGTGAACTCTGGCTTTTCTCTGACATTTAAAAATATTTAGATCTACTGAAATCTCAAAATAGCTCACCCTTAACAAAAAGCTTTAGCACCTGAACATTCTTGCTTAAAGGCTAAACCCCAAGTTCACTTTGTCAGATTGCCAAGCAACCACAGACACTGCCATATGAACACCTGCGTATGACATCATGAGTCAAGTGCAGTAAAGGAGATGTTTAGAAGTTGAACGAAAATTTTGCTTAGTCTGGTGCTCTCCGCCGACCAAACAGGACACGAGGCCAGATGGCCCCCTGTCTTTGCAGCCTCCCACATAGCTTGGATGCATTCGAAGTTCCTATTTCATAGAATTAACAGTTACCACTTCCTTTTAACTCTTAAAACCCCTTACCGTTCATTCCAACAAATGTGTACATGTGAAAAAATGTATCTGCGAAGGCACTGGCTAGCAGGACCCAGACAGACAGAATAAAACCTGGCGAGAATAATTTAATCCATTCGTTCTCCAAGAAGTTCCGTGCCACACCAATCTAGACACCAAATCAGTTCTATTTTTTAGAAATACCTTTAGTTAAGGAGTTTTCCTTAGTCGTTTAATCTTTAAAAAAAACAAAAACAAAAACAAATAATCCTACCAAATCTTTAAGATCATGGTAAGAATGATATAGTACAGATCTCATCAATATCTCTTTTCAGTAAGGATGACTTCTTCTGAAGCTTACTTGAGTGAGGTAGGACACGAGAAAGATTATTTAATAACCTGACTAGCTTCTCTACAACTTTATTTATAATATTTTTCAGAGGAACAAATAATTAAGTGGAGATTTTTTTATTGGGAGCTTGGATTTCCTAATCCAAACCAGAAAATGGTCAAATTATAACATCTTTCTGCAGAAATGGTCTAAGAACAGCCATCCTGTCTGTCTTCAACAAACAACTGTGAGTTGAGAAAGATGTGTTTTCATTTCTTAAACAACAGCTTTATTGAGATATAATTGATATACAAGAAATCTGGACATATTTAATATATGCAGTTTTATGAGTTTGCAGATATGCATACATTTGCAACTGTGAATTTGCAAGTGCCTAGTAAAGATCCAGTTTTTCTCTGATGAGAACAATTTTAAGAAGCTTTATGATCTTATAAGATGATTCATTTATCTAAATGCAAAAAAATAAAATTAAATTAATATTATGGGCCCAAATTTATAAAATTTTTAAAAGTTAGTGACTAGGAGTCCCTCCTTTTCATTTAAAATATGCTTATTGTATGAAAATAAACAAAAAGTACAATAAAAATTTAATTGCATTAGGTGCCTAGCATATTAATATGAGAAGTAGAAGGTTTATCTACCAAACTATATGACATCGAGTCATCAAAACACAAACCACTTGCCGTGGCCAGTGTGGCTCAGTTGGTTCAGCATCATCCTGTGCACCGAAGGGTCACTGGTCCAATTCCCCGTCAGACACATACCCAGGTTGTGGGTTTGATCCCCAGTCTGGGTACATACGGGAAGTAACTGATCGATGTTTCTCTCTCACATCGATGTTTCTATCTCTTTCTCCCCTCCTCTCTAAAGTAAATAAAAAGCATTTTATTTTTTTAACTCATCTTTATTATTCAATGTAGTACAGTTATCCCCCTTCTTTTCTCCATTGTCCCCCTCCTCCTGAATCCCACCCCCTCCTGCCTTCCCCACACTATTGTCAGTGTCCATTGGTTATGCATATATGCAGAGAAATTCTCTGGTTTATCTCATCCCGCACTCACTCCCCCCTTCCCTTTGAGGGTCATCAGTCTAACAACCAATTTGTACTTCTTAATTCCTTCATAATAAAAAGCATTTAAAAACTACACACAGGCAAGCCATTTTACTTATCAATTATGTCAGCACTCAAAGTGGTCCAGTTAAGATCTACTTCCTCTTGAAAAAGTGAAATATATTGAAGGGAGATAAAAGGAGCTAAAGAGTAGTACCATGATTCCTGACAGCAAGGATGAAGACCACAGCTATGATTGTGGGAAACTGAGTCACGGGGAAATATGAGAAGCTTGAAAAAGAGAGAAGATGTGAACAGGGCATCAGAGGGTGTACATGGAGAAATGTGAGAAAACCAGTTATAAAATGAATGTGTGCATGTGGAAAAATATATCTGCAGAGGCACTAGGTAGCAGGACCCAGATCTAAATCCAAGTACCCAATTTAAAAAAGTAAGACTAGAAGTCTGAAACGTAAGGCTATAAGCCTAGTCATGTAACGTCTAGACCTCCCCTTCTTTTTGCATCACCTTTACTTTCTCTGTAAGCCTACTGAGCAGAAGGTCAGTAACAACAAATGTACTCTTTCCTCTCTTGGTTACATTTTATAGGGGATCTGAAGGGGCTGTGGGTTCAGCTGGGATTACAGTTGGAAGAGCTTATTGAAGCAGGGTTGACAGTAGGTCTTGTCATTCTGTTCCCTGAAGATTCCCTTTGACAACTGTGTCATGCAGAAAGCGCAAACGAAGTGCTCAGGATGGAACTTGTGGCCCATGGCGCTGATGCAGCGGCCAGTGATGGGCTGGCCACACCCATAGCAGAGGGTTCCTCGGCGGTGATGGTAGTGGAGCTCACAGAATGGACGTCCATCCAGTTCAAAGAAAGAGCCAGTGGAGAAACTGCTGAAGCAGTCCTGGGGAGGGGTGGAGAGTAGAGAAAGGAAAGGAATGAAGATGTCAAGATTAAAACATTGGCAAAATAAAACTTACAGTCTAGACATTCCTGCCAATTGCAGGAATTCAGTTGGGTCCTTGACAAATAGAGGCTAGAATATGGCCCCCTTGCAAAACAGACAATCAAATGCCCACATTTTGTGTGAGTCTCCTTTAGGAAGCCCAGGTCAATTCCTTATCCCACTCTGAGAACCCTCTTAGCAGCTCTGCCTCTCGGAGAGGAGAATGCGTGACTTTCCCTAAATCCAAAAAATTAACTGAGTGTACAGACCCCACAAACAAAGCACTCTGGATGCCAGACAGTGTCCATGGCTGAAAGGTAGTTTTCCAACACCGGGCGGTTGCAGCCCCCACACTTGGGTGAGAACATGGCTAAGTAATCCTTTCGGCAGTATGGCTTCTTGTCCTTCTCGTGAAAGCCTGGAGAGAGAAAATCAAGAGTTCACGGTTGCAATTTGAGACCTTAAGCCAAGTCAGTGGTTGAGAAGAGGCCAATGATTTTAGATTCTCCCAAACTCAGTGATCTCATATTCAAAATGGGGGGAACAATAAATACCTACCTCAAAGGGTTACTATGAGAAATACATGGATGATGCAGGTAACGTGGTTTAGTATTGTGCCTGGTTCACAGTGAGCACTTCATAATGTTAAGGGCTATTCCTCCTCGATGCCTTAGTACTAACCATTCTAAGTACTTGGGAAGTTCCACCCAAGGCCTCAATATGACTAGCCTCACCTTGTAATCCATAAATCAGCTAAAAAATCATCTTACAGAAGAGACATCTCTCCAGCCTGTACTACCACTTCATCTTTTTCATTGTCTTTAGAGCATCTTTCTGGTCTGTCTTTCCTCATTGGGACATTAGCTCTGAAAGAAACTAGATTTTGTTGGTCTTGTTACAACATATCTCAGGTACATAAAATAGCACCTGGAAAAGAACTGCCTAATATTTTAAAATAAAGTACCATGAAATAACAATTTCCAAGTAGATGCGAGATTGAAATATAATAATTCAAAATACACAAATACTTAAATTAAAAGTGGATGGAGTCTTCTTTCACTTGGAAATGAAATGAGAACTGTCATAAAATGGCTCAAATTTGAAAAGCAAGTTAAAAATTAATAAATTTAGCTACATTAAAATATATATTAATGACTTATACATGACCAAAAAAATACTATATGCAAAGCCAAGACAAAGCACAAACTTAGGAAAATATTTACTAAATATATCTCAGAGAAATATAGTGAATACAAAGGTCCCTAAATAAATATATGGTTTTAATCATTGTTTTATAAAATTTATCCCTAAAAATTGAATCAAGTTGAAACACATTAACTTAACTACATATCAAATTGATTATATGACCCAAAAAAAGGCAATAATTCATTCTAATGCCTTTAAAACACAGTATCTTGACTATATAGTCCTATTGAATGTATTCTAAAGGCAAAAAGAACTACAAAGAAATCTTAATGCATCTTGACCTCAACCTCTCAGTGGGACCTGATAGTATCGGCTGAACCCAAATATCATTAGCCAATAGCTTTGCAAATATGAAAATCTACTTGTGCCCACTAAAATGGCATGTAAGCAAAGCATGCTCTGTGGATTGGAAAGCAGCCCCCCATGAACATTATTTCTAGAAATCTACTTTGATAGTACAGCCAGATCAAAAAACAAAGCAATGGGGGCAGCCAGGGATTGGCACCCAAATCAGGTAGCTGCAGTCTTTCCCTGATCTCCGGTCACTATTTGATATGCCTTGTTCAAGGATGCTGTCTTGGAAAAGCAGATAGTTTAACAGACTTCTGAGGCCCATAGATCTAATAATCTAAACTAATAATTTTATTGTGTTCTTCTCCCTGTGACACAGATGAGCTCGCTTTATCTTTTTTTTTTTACTTTATCAAAGAATTTCTAGATTCTGATCAAGTGCAACTGACTGTGGGAAGGCCTAGTGTTAAAAAAAACAAACCTGGGCGTGGGGTGGAAGAAGGAGGACATCTGTAATACTTTCAACAATAAAGAAAAAAATTTTTTAAAGAAAAAGATAAACAAACCAACGTGAGCAACCACCTTTCTTTCTTTTGTGTGGCCCAATATTTCTTATATGCTCTCACGTGTCCATTACCTGGTGAGATTACTAGCTGGGCCCCACCCCCAGAATTTCTGATTCAGTAGGTCTGGGACAGGGCCTGGGAATTTGCACTTCTAACAAGTCCTCAGATGATGCAAATGACCTAAAACTGAGCTTGCCTGTAAGTCAGTGTTACTTGAGAAAACTGTAAGACATGCCAACAGACCTAGGAATGACCCTAATCCAGCCATTTTTAGGGTAGCTGGTCATAAGAATGAGATACAGCAGGAAGTAACAGCCTCTGTTTGAACTCAGGTGAATCTCAGGAGAGAAATCAAAAGTAATCAGCCCCTGCATTTGCTATCCAAAAAACTGAGAAAGTTTCACCACCTTTTTACCTGGAGGCTCTCTGTGGGGCCAATTACCTCTGGAGGATGGATGAGAAATACTAACAATTAAAAGTGCCACAGAGAAAGAGAGGACATTTATACTCTGGTGAGGCACACCTGCATGGCCTGGATAATGAACAATTAACAAGAAAGGTAGGCAATGAGGACCCGGTCCCTATGGGAGGATGTTAAGGTCTGATGTGCTTAGAAACTTGAGCCTTAAAGAGGAATTCCCTGAACTGAAACAAAAATGCAGATGAATTTAATTTCCCAGGAGGCTCCATCGTTTAGCTGTCATCATAAAAGCTCTGTGTGTGACTGTGCGACCTGAGATAAGGCAGGATGCCACCTAATTAATGGACTAACCATACGGTAGGAGACCCATTTACAGAAAGCAAAGGAGAAAAATAAAAATACTACCCAAGAGGAGCTTCTGATTAGTAAATGGCCTTTTTTATCAGTGGTCTAAATAAATATATCTTAGGTGTGGCTTCATATTTATATGAAGTTATAAATGAACCAATCTGCCTATTGGTTTAGAAGAGGCCCAAGTCCAGAGCAATGGTGCTTTCTGGTCATCCTATGGATGGGATATTTCCCTTTTGAGTCTAACTTACATCTCTTCTTGAAATACGTCTGTATCCTGTTGTTCTGTTCTCAGGCAACTTCCACGTTATAATTATTCCTGGGCAGTGTTCACTTGCTGATTATTCTACTCAACTCTCAGACTTCTAAGGCTACCAGTGCAATGTAAATTTACCATGACACATTTCAATATGCTTTAGATTAAATCTCAATGAAAATCTACTGAACTAAAGTGCAATCTAGAAATGAAAGGCCTAATGACTTGTGAAACACATTGAACAAGCTTCAGTGAACATGCAAATTACTACAAAGCATTTTGCTGGTAGATTATATCCATGCTACTCGATCTAGTTCTATCTTCAAATAAAATGCATCAGATTGGTGCCAAGAAAGTAAAAAGATCCAAGAGAAGAATAGGAATGAGTCTCTGTCAAGGGGCAATTACGATGTTGTAAAAAAAAAAAACAAAAAAAAAAAAAAACATGGAATTTGCAAAAATAAGGCCTTATTTCAAATTCCAACTATTTAATTTTCTAATTGTATGACTTTAAGAAAATCACTTTTCATCTATAGCTAGGTAAAATATGGAATAAAATTAGTCCCACACAGTTGTGGTTGGGATTAAAGGAATAGTAGTTAGAAATATACATAATAATGGGCCTATCATTAGGAAAGTCCATGTTGCTGAGGACAAGACACGTGAGATTATCTTCTCTTCCTCCTGAAACACCACTGACATGATAGTTAAAGAATAATCCAAAATAGAAAGGCCCATAGGAAAAAGAGAAAAGGAAAAAAGATACCACAGTTGAGATATCAATAAAATTTTCAAAAATTTAAAGTAGGTAGGAGTGTGACAACTAGGTTGGCAAAAACAAGAACACTGAAACCTACATCTCCAGACAGAGGAGGTGCCAATAAAACTCGAGCCATCCGGAGCTCCATAACATCAGAGGGGCTCAGGAACTGAATGCATAACATAGTCTTCAAGGCTGGAAACAGGATTGGTTGCAAGTCTGAGGAGCTGTAAGAAGATCAGATTCCCAACCCCACCATAAGATGCAGTGATTCGTTATGGAAATATCAAACCATAGATACTGGGCACCATGAGGAAAGGAGTAAAGCTTTCTACTCAAAAATGGGAATTAGATAAAAGCTGACATTCTGAATGGTGAAACCTCATCTTCCAATCCCTTTTTAAATTTTCCATAGTGTGGGCACAGAGAACATCTCTTGGATAGAATTGATTCAAAATTAAAGGCCTAAAATATTAATATTCAGGAGCCTCCCAGCAACATGGCTGGAGCATCCGAAGTACAACACAGTTGAGTCCAACAGTCCACACGTCCCGCCTATTGTCCAATTAGCATTTCAGTGTCTCATTCTTAAAGAGGAAACAGGCAACCAAAGATCAACAGCGTTTGGTAAAGACCAATGTAACAAGATGTAAGACTGAGATGCCATAGATATCAAAGTTCAAATTGAGCTTCAAGACATCTCTCCAAGTAGATAGCCATGGACTCTTCTCACAGTTCCTGAACTCCTCACTCACACTGAGGATACAAAACAGGTAAAGAGAAAGGGAAAGTGAGAGAGGGATTTCTCTGGAGAAAACTGTGCTGTGGGTGCTCCACCATCACCCTCAAGAGGGATGAGGTATGGGTCTTTCCAATCTCAAGTCAAGAGAGGGACTTCAATAGGACCACTCAGAAAGCTGGATATATGTCCCCTGCCATTAGTGGGATACTGTTGATGGTATTTAACTTATCCCTTGAAAAAGGCCATAGGTGAGAGTCTGGCTGAAGGGCCTATGGCAGCTGAAGTGAAAGATGTACCTGAAAATCAACTTCAACCCCACTGACTGCAAGAAAATGGTACAAGTTTCCCATGGTCCACACATGCAAATGTGAGTGAAAGAGATAATTAGAATAATTTTTAAGAGATCACTGTAGAAAACCACGTACACCCTGAAATAAAGAATCTGTGTAGAAGGGATCCTCAAAGAAATGTGCTAAGAGCTGTAAGAAAGAAAGATCTCTTATCCTTTGAGACGACATGGAGGGACCTGGAAAGTATTATCCTAAGCGAAACAAGCCAAACAGAGAAAGACAAGTATCATATGATCTCACTTATTTGTGGAATATAATGAACATAACAGTCTGAGGAATGGGGTAGTCCCAGAGACGTGGAAGTGGGGTACAGATTGACAATCCCCAGGAGAGAGGGGGGGGGGGGGAGATAAACCACAGAACTTATATGCATGTATGCATGAACATGGACAACAAAGCTGGGGACAGGGCAGGGAGGGAGAAGGAGGGGGGAATCAGTGGGGGGGGGGAGGAGAAACATCTGTAACAAAAATTAATTAATAATAAAAAAAAGACTTTACAGTGGAACCTGTACTAAATCCACAAAAATATCCAAGAAAAAAAAAATCAGAGTTAAACATCTGCCAAGCCCAGACAGCATAAAGAAACTTTATAATGGAACTAGACAAGTTAGAATTTTTCTGCCCTCCAGTCTCATCTCCTTCTATCCCCATTTCAATTTTGGAGGGACTGGAAATCAACAGCATTATGTTAAGCCAGATAAGTGAAATGGAAAAAGACAAGAACTATATAATTTCCTTTGGTTGTAATATAAAACAAACAGCAACAAACAAATAATGAAAACAAAAAACCTTGTAGATACAAATAGCAGTATGGTATTTACCAGAGGTCAGGGGTATGTGGGAAAGGATAAAGAGGGTGAAGGGGGTCAAATATATGGTAACAGAAGGAGATTTGACTTTGGATAGTGAGTACCCAATGCAGTATATAGAGGATGTATTATAGCATTGTAGACTTGAAACATAATTTCATTAAAAAATGTCACCCCAATAAATTTAATAAAAATGTTTAAAAGAAAAAAAAAGGAGTAATCATAAAAAACATGGGACTGTCCAAGTTTTTATTTAGAAGGAGAAAACATTCCCCACTGAGTTAATTTCAAAAAGACAGGAAAAGACAAAATAAAGAAACTTTTTGATTCCATGCATTAGTCATATTTGTTCAAAACAAACATAAAAAGAAGAAGTCAAGAAAATATCAAGACAATTTCGAAAACAGAAGTAAAACACACACACAGAGAGAGGGAAAAGCAGATCACATAGAAAGGATCAGGAATAAAAACAAAAATCTTAATAAAAACTTCTCAACTATGGAAACTGGAAGATAGTGAAGCAAAGTCTTCAGAATTATGAGGGAAAATAGTTTCCACCTAGAATTGTCTGCCCAGGCAACTTAAGGTAGAGAACAGAACAAATATATTTTCAGATGTTCAAGGTCTCAAAAGTTTTACTTCCCATCCTGTTCTCAGGAGCTACTAGAGGATGTGCTCCACCCAAATAAAGACAGTAACATGTATTAAAAGACTTGAGATCCAGGAAACAGAGGATCCAAAGAGAAAAACAGTAAAAGGAATTTCCAAGATAATGACCCAGAATAACTGCTTCTCAGTAGGTCTCAGGAGAAACCATTTCAGGCTGGAGCAGGAATATGAAGTCTCTTGCACAGATGTCCACAAGAAAGAATCAATGGAACTGACCTACCATATGTGGTTCACCATTCTGAGAAGGATTTAACAGTCTGTCAGGTAAATTAGGAATAAGTATAATAAAAATTAAGCTAATAAAAAAAAGATCCAAATATTAACTTCATAAAAAATAAATTTCACGTTGCCTGAGCCCGCCAGGAACCAGTGATTCTCCACGCACGCAGCATCCAGTGAGACTCGCAGCGCACCAACATAGCGGACATGGGCAGAGCCATGGTAGCCAGGCTTGGACTGCGGCTGTTGCTTCTGGCGCTGCTCCTACCCACGCAGATTTATTCAAATCAAACAACTCCTGCAACACCTGCAAGTAACCCCTCCCACAATACCTCAACTACTCCAAGTTCAGCAAATACCACCACCAAGGCAAGCGGTGGTGCTCTGCAGTCAACAGCCAGTGTCTTTGTGATCTCCTTGGCTCTTCTACATCTCTACTGTTAAAAGACTTGGGCCAAGAATTGTCTATCCTTCTCCATCTTCTAAACCCAATCCAAATGGCATCTAGACATCCAGTGTGACAAGGAAAAAACAGGTCTTCATGGAATCTTCTAATTCCACACCAAATTTTATTGACACAGAAAATGTTGAGGATCTCATATTTGATTGGTTTGAAGAGGATGCAGGGTTTGACTAGGTGATGAATGTTAAATCTGCTGGACTTTAATATATAAGATGAAGAGAGACACATCCAAAATTAGTTCAGAGGTTATTTCCTTAAATGTGGCTTAAGAAGTATGGACACATACAATTCTACCTTGATAATGAATAGATTTTATCTTATCTATAGATACAGGATGGAATTTGGAACAGTCTGTTTTCATTTAGTTTATTAAAGTTATAAGGCCCTAAAACAGGTAATGCAAAAAGCCATGATTCTATTTATATGTGCATTAGAAGGAACTTCCAGGTGTTCCTATAAATTCTCAGCACATTGTTTCACAGTACTAACTTAATGCCGGTGAACTCTAAATAAAAATGTACATTGTTAAGCTATCACTGTTCTCTTCGGAGCTGAACTCTTTACTCTGAGGCTTTGGATTTGACATATTATTTGACTTTTGGTGTAATAATTGATATGTGCCAGGGAAATGATGGATTGGAATCTACCCCAAATCTAAGCATGATGAGTAAATGTTGCTGATACTCAAACAAGAGCACCAGATTCATTGAGCTAAACTAATTCCAAAGAGTAGAAGCACACTGACCTCAACTAATTTCAAAATGCTTCTTATTTCTGCATATGATACTTTTTACAATCATAAAAAAATGATTGGTTTTGAAGGTAAAATGGACAGATCTTAAAATTGAAAAGGCAAATATATGAAGGGGCCAAAACTGTAAATGAGGTATTTGGGAAGTGAAGATTGGAAGCTTAAATTAAATTCAGAAAAACTTTTATATCTTTCTGTACATACTTTTTTAAAAAAAACTATGAGTCAGAATAGCCACATTTGGTATACTTTTCTGTTATTGGTCAATATTTTAGGTAGTTAGAAATTGATCCAAAGCCTAATGTGGGCTTAATTCTGGAAAGTAAATCTTTTAACAACTGCTTCCAAGCTCAGAACCTTTTCAAAAGTAGTCACTCCCTAAAGTCTTTTGTTCATATGGTCACACACTGATGCTTAGATGTTCCAGTATCTAATATAGCCACAGTAGTCTTGATAACCAAAGTCATTTTTTCCACCTTTAGAAAGCTACCCAGGAACACCATACCAGCAGATCTCAAGCTACTGTGTGTGTGAATGAACATTCCCTTTTGTTTCATACCTGAATGCTGTACATCTATTTTGGATTGTATATTGTGTTTGTGTATTTATGCTTTGATTCATAGTGACTTCTCTCTCATCTTATGGAATTGATTTGCATTGAACACAAACTGTAAATAAAAGGAAATGGCTGAAAGAGAATAAATAAATAAATTTCTACAAAAAGGACACTGATAGTAATAATCATTGTCTCCATCGTTGCCAGGCACTGCTTTAAACATTCATGACAACTCTTAAAATCCTCACAATGACCCTATAAGGCAGCAGCTCTCAAGCTGGGGGTCGCGACCCCTTTGGGGGTCGAACGACCCTTTCACAAGGGTCATCTAAGACCATAGGAAAACACATATTTTCAATGGTTTTAGGAACCGAGACACCGCTCCTCTATCCGTCTCCAGGTGGGTCCGCCCACATGCAGAACATGAGGAACTGTATTAAAGGGTGGCAGCATTAGGAAGGTTGAGAACCACTGCTATAAGGTAAGCATTATTATTAGGCCCATTTTACTGGTAAGGAAAATGAGGTATAGAGAGGTTAAATGACTTGAACAACATCACATAGCTAATAAATACACAGCCTAGATTTTTAACCAGGCAGTCTGATTCCAAAATCCATTCTCTACTGTCAATTTGCTACCTGGCTCAACTGTGAGCAATATTTACATGATTATCTACCTGTACACAATGAATGCTGATCTGACCTGTAATTATGACCTGATTATATATAGAGAACATGGGGGAGGGGAAATATGTTGGGGGTAAGGTGGAATCGTAATAACATTTCTAAATCTTCATCTTCGCCCTGGCCGGTTTGGTTCAGCGGTTAGAGCGTCGGCCTGCGGTCCTGAGAGACCCGGGTTCGGTTCCCGCTAAGGGCACATACTTCGGTTGCAGTTTGTCCCCGGCCCTGGTCGGTTGTGCGGGTGGCAGCCACTCGATGTGTTCCTTTCACATCGATGTTTCTCTCTCTCTCTCTCTGTTCCTCTCTCTCCCTCCCACTCTACCTGAACAAAAAATGGAAAAATGTCCTCGGGTGAGGATAAAAAAAAATAAAAAAAAAAAAAATAAATCTTCATCTTCTCTGGTACAAAGTGAATACATAATGATTAAAATCGGGGGGGGGGGGGTGTCAATTTATAGTAATGTATCATTTAAAACACATAAGTAAATAACAAAAGAAAAAGCTAAAAAACATTAAGAGAGAAGTAGATTTGGGGTGGAGAAAGGAGGAGCAAGGGAGTGTTCAATTTCAATATTACCCTTGAAGTAATGTTTGAGTTTTTAAACTATGCAATCATATCTCTTTGATTAAAATAATTCAATTTAAACAAAAATCTACACATGTTGGGAGAAGGTAAAGAAAGATGGCGTCCAGTACTGAAAGGGGCACTTGGGTGGTAGTGGCAGAATCCTGGACAATCAGGGCAGGTCTAGAAAGCAGATCAAGGCAGCCCGGGTTGTACCTTCTGTCCCGAACACCTCTCCACAGTGAGAGCAGAAGAAGTGCTCCGGGTGCCAGGTCTGGTTCATTGCCGTCAGCACTCTCTGGAAAGGGAACACACGGAGAGGGGTTAGAGTGCTGCAGAGCTGTAAACATGACCCTGCTTCTGAAGGAGTGAGTGAAAGCTGCAGGGAAGCAGGGGGAGGGACATCTACTTACGTCCAGGATGGGAGCAGCACAGTAAGCACAGCGTGGGGAAAACAGATGGTGGTAGTCCTTGGGGCAGTAGGCCAAGCCACTGCGCTCAAAGAAGGGACTGGAGCCGATCTCTTCTTTGCAGTGACTGCAGATGAAGTGCTCTGGATGCCATGCTTTCCCTAGAGCATGGATCACCTGGGGGATGAAACAAAGCCTGGCATGAGAGCCCAGTAGGGTGCTCCAGGGCCTATAGGTGGCACATCTGTGGTGGGCACGTTTCGCACAGTATTCCAAGTAAATGACACCCCCTGGGGTTACACAACACTGAGGCCTAGACCTAGGCCCTACCTGCGTGGTCTATTGTCCATGCTTTATGGAAAGAAAAAGGGTGCCCAATTTCTTGGCTGTTCCTGCAGATAAAGCCTGTAAATGTTTGTTACCACTATACTGCCCCAGACAGTGAAAGAAACAAAATAGAGCACCATAGTGATAGACAACGGATAACTACAGCCTTGGTGTGGAAGGGATCCCCGGAAGAGGAAAAAGCCAAAAGATAGTTTTTGTGCCTCTGATCTGGACCGCTTATCTCATGCCCCATACAGAGTCAGGTTTCAAAGCCCTGTTACGGTTCTGGTGAAGGATGATGCAAAGGAGCAGTTAGTGGCCATGATTTGAAGCTGAGTGCAGCTGAAAATTGTATGCAATCAATTTAAACTAGGAACGTTTGCACAGAGGAAGCTGTGAGAAAGTTCCTCCCCATAACAGCAGCACAGAAAACAGCTTAAGAGCTTAAACTCAGGAGTTGATTTTCCTGGGTTCAAATCCTAGCCTTACCTATTACCAGACCTTAGACCTGAGCCCTCAATTTCCTCATCTTTACAAAGGGAACAATACTAGAGTCTCCCTCAAGGACGAATGTAACCATTAAGTGAAGAAATACTTAAAGCACTTAACTCTGCCCAGAGCACCATCAGTGATCAGTAATTATTAACTATTATTAAAACATCTTAGAATATATGGAGAAAGAGCAATCCTTGGTAGTTCAGAGACAGACCACACACACGCAGACACAGGTGACTGTAGGACCAGCATCTTGGCCCATCCCACCTTTCCAGCAATAGGTTTTTGGCAGGAAGCACAATGACCCTTGGGCACTGTGGCAATGCCAAGGTCCTGCAGCTCCTGCTCCAAACCCCCCAGCATGGAGTCCAGGGAGGCCTTGTGATCCTGCTTGTCTGGTACGTACTTCTTGCTGACATCTGTTTTCACTGCCACCTGGTACAAAGGAGAGAACCGTGAAGAGAATCAGCCTCATGGACATTTATCCTCATGGCTTCTTCTTCATGACCCTATTAACTCACCTCTACTGATGGACCCTCAGTCTTTCCTGAATCTTCCTCCAACGTAGGGAAGAGTCCAACCTTGTCACACCAATAAAAATTCTTTCATCTCTTTTTCATTCTAAATTCCTCAAGCCGAATGAAATCTGACTAATCTTTCTTCATGTATAAACCTTTCTCTGACCATAGGAACTTGAATAAATAAAGACAATACTTTTCTGGCTCTTGTGATGACCACAGGTCAACAATCTTTTTTTTTTTTATTTATTTTTTTATCCTCACTCGAGGACATTTTTCCACTTTTTGTTCAGATACAGTGGGAGGGAGAGAGAGGAAGAGAAAGAGAAATATCGACATGAAAGGGACACATCAAGTGGTTGCCACCCGCACGACCCAACCAGGGCCAGGGACAAACTGCATCCGAGGCACGTGCCCTCAGCGGGAACCGAACCCAGATCTCTCTGGACCGCAGGCTGACGCTCTAACCACTGAGCCAAACCGGCCAGGGCCTTTTTATTCATTTATTCTGCAGAGTTTACTGAGCACCTACTTTGTGCCAACCCCTGCTCTAGGCTGGCTCTCGGTAGAGACAACGTATAAGAGCACTGAAGCGTCTACCCTCATGAAGTTTACATTCCCTGGGTGATGGACAATAAACAATTAAATAAATATACTATGCAATGTCAGATAGAAATAAGATACAAGTTATACATTGAGATCAAGGTGGGTTGACTGAGGTGACGGTGATTAGAGAAGGACCTCTAAGATGTGATATATATGCGTGAATTCTTGAGTGATGTACTTAGAAATATTGGTATTTGTGGGGTCAGTGGGCTAGAGCACAGGGAGCGAGACTGAGCATGGCAGGAGAAGGTAATGGACATGGAGTTTTGTTCCAAGGGTGGTGGAGCCACTGGAGGGTGAAAGAATCTGATTTATAAGATCCCTGTGGTAGCCGGGTGAGGAATGAAGTGTAGAATGAAATCAGAGGTGTGGGGTTGGGGGGTTGGAAGATGGATGTTTTTTGACTTTGTGTTAAGCACTCTCAACCTTGTGTTAAATGCATTCTCAGAATCCTAGCTGGGGGTGGAGGGGACCTGGCCCAGGTGTACTGAGTACTTCATTTGCATGTGTATAAGGATTTGTTATCTTTTGGCTTCAAGGTCTCTTCCCTTAAAAAGCAAGAGACAAAACTAGGGTGTATGCAGTAATGCCAACTCAGGGAAATAATTTACTTAAATCCACTTGTAACCTGGGGGTACCAGCCTGCAAATAAATGGGACTGCGTCCAGAGATCTAGAGCATTTACTACCTTGCAAAGCTCCCCTCACTCCAACCAGCATGTGGTTGTAGGTTCATAGCGTTGCACCGATCCCGGCAGGCCGAGAGACAGCACGGAGGCACTAGTTAGGTGGGAGAGTATTACAAAGGCTCAAACCAGAAATAACGACTCGGACCAGGGTTAGCGGAGAAGGTGGTGAGAAACTGTCAGATAAGACTTGCTGATGAATTATAGTTATTGAAGCAAAACTCCGAGACACTTATTATACAATATTCAAAGGAAGAGCCTCCAATTACAGAAAAGATGCCCAATGTATCCTTCATCAACTTAAGTCCTGATGCCGTCCCTCTCAGCTCCAAGGCGGACCTCTAATCCTTCCTGATCGGAGAACTCCAGACGGCCCGTGTTTCCAGCATCGCATCTGCACACAGCGCAGGACGCCCAAAGCCTCCCAGCCACTGCCCTGGCTTTACCTTTCCAGTCTCACCTTTCATTGCGGGTAGAAAGCCTGCATTGTTGAAGGCCTGCGGGCTCCGGAACGCGATCCCTTACAGTCTGACTTCAGGCCTCGACTTACCCTACTTTCCCTGCCAGGAATAACCTCACAATAGCTCACTGGCCCACAGTGCTCATTCCCCTGCAAGAAACTTTTATCATCTGACAGATTTCCTTCCTCCTCTATTATATGATGTTACTTAATGTTGAAAAGATTAGTGTTGAAAAGATTAACATCTAGCCCTGGCTGGTTTGGCTCCTTGGTTAGAGCGTGGGCCTGCACACCAAAGTGTCTCAGGTTCAATTCTCAGATTGTAGGTTCCCCTGGCCCTGGCTGGGGTCATGGGAGAGGCAGCCAATCGAAGAGACATATTGATGTTTCTGTCTGTCTCTTTCCCTCCCACCCTCCCTCCTACTCTATTTGAAAATCAATAAAAAAAATATCCTCAGGTGAGGGTTAAAAAAAAAAGTTAACATCTTAAAGGCCTGCAAAGGTGACCAATATTAAGGATGAAAAATAACTAAGTAATAAAACAGTAATACATGTATATCTACATCTACGTTTACACCTATCTCTATTTGCTTGTATATTCCAGAATACTTCTGAATTGTTATGTAAGAAACAAAAAATAGATTGGGGAGGAGGGGGTCAATGGGGAAAAAGGGGGAGATATCTGTAATACATTCAACTATAAAGATGAGTTTAAAAGAAAAAGAAACAGAGACTAAAAAAAAAAGAAAGAAACAAAATATATTGACTATCTCCAGGGGGAAGAACTAGATAGCTGGGGACAGAGCTAAGAAAGAAATGGTTCATTGCAAACTAACTTTAGTCTGGGAAAGTAAATGACAACTTAGAAGTACTCCTTAAGAGGAGGAACTGAGTTCCAAGAAAGATGAACCTGAAGGCTTTTTCATAGGGCCTACGCTCACCTTGGCCTGCATTTTACACAGGTGGGCCATGAGCTCATCCAACTGAGTTGCTGCTGAGGTTTTGGAAGGTGGTGATGAGTCCTTTGGCTCTGGGATGTCACTATAGGGAGAGAAAAAAAATCATACCAACATATCAAAACTCAAATAAATGTTAAACTACACATAAAATACCAGAAAATGCTATTAAATTTTTAGATGTCAGTAAAATTGGAGACAGTATTTTAAAATATAGATACTAGACTGAAAATGTGTTTCCACATCTCCTTCTCCTCATCCCACAAACTGACTCTTGTTCTCAAGCGCATGAAGAAAAGCACAGGACATGTAGCTGGCAAGCCATTTGTCCCCAGTAGCCAGGTGCAAAGCCAGCCCTGAAAGTGCTTTAAGACTGGGGTCCATATGTGTTTTTTATTTTATGTTAATGGTATTTTTAAAAATTTTAATGTCAGGTGAGAGACAAAAAATTAATGAGACTATAGAATAGGCATCCATCCATATATTGAGGTCCATAGGCCAAATTTGGCCATGCCCATTCATACTGTCTACAGCTGTTGTCCTATAGAGTTGGATAACTGTAACACAGAGAGCGCCTTATGGTCCACAAAGCTAAAATATTTGCTATTTACCCTTTTCAGACCCCTGATAGAGTTTAGATAATGTACATGATGTTGCTTATAAATCCATAGGATTATGAATAATTTATTAATAAATAAAATTTTGAACCCAAGACACAGAATACAGACTCTATTCAAATACTTGCACATGAGAGAGAGAGAGTGAGTGAGAAAGAGAGAGAGAGAGAGGAGGGGAGGGAAGGGAAAGGGAGGAAAAGAAAAAGAAAGGAGGGTAAATAAAAATAGCAGAAGTGTGTTTAAAAATACAATGGCTAGCCCGGCTGATGTGGCTCAGCAGTTGAGCATCAACCTATGCAACAAGAGGTAGCTGGTTCTGTTCCTGGTCACAGCACATGCCCAGGTTATGGGTCAAATCCCCAGGAGGGGCATGCAGGAGGTGGCCAGTCGATGTTCTCTCTCATCAATGTTTCTATCTCTCTCTCCCTTCCTCTTGCTAAAATCAATAAAGAAAAAATATTTTTTAAAAAATACAATGGCTAAGTAGTGTTTATACTAGGCATCCAAGGATGGTTCGATATTATTAAATGGATTAATATAATGCATTATAGTAAAAAATAACAGAAACAATTTATAAATACAGCCCTGGCCAGTTTGGCTCAGCGGTTAGAGCATCGGCCTGCGGTCCCAGAGACCCGGGTTCGTTTCCCGCTAACAGCACATACCTTGGTTGCAGCCGGGCCCTGGCTGGTCGTGTGGGTGGCAGACACTCAATGTGTCCCTTTCACGTCGATGTGTTTCTCTCTCTCTCTCTCTCTATTCCTCTCTCTCCCTCCCACTTTACCTGAGCAAAAAAATGGAAAAATGTCCTCAGGTGAGGATAAAAAAAAATAAAAAAATAAATACATTGATAGGTGCTGAAAAGCAGTTGAAAACAAATTCAACCACCATTCCTTTACTAAAGATAGGTGTTTTTCCATATCCTTCTGTAAATCTTTATCTGTCCCTTGCAACCATAATAGCTAACATATATTGTTTGCACTAAGCCAGGCCCTCTGTGAAGGGTTTTACACTTGTCCTCTTTAAATCCTATAACAACCTAACAGTGAGGTACTGTCACTCCCACATGAAAAACTGGGGCTTAGAGAAGGTAAAAACTTTGCTCCACATAATACAGCTGGTAAAGAACAGAGCTGGGCCTGCAGCCTGCAAAGCTTATGTTCTCTCTCACCATGCTAAACTACCTTACAAACAATGTTTAAAGGCTATATCGTTTTCAAATGTATAACATGCTATGATTTATTAAGCCAATCGTTTATTGTTAGACTCCTAAGCTGTTTCTGATTTTTGCCGTTGTCAAGACTGCTAAATAAGTATTTGCACCCATATTTGATTATTTCCATGCTAGTAAAGTAAATTTTGAGAAGTGAAAAAACTGGATCATGCAGGCAACTGACTCAAGTAATGTTTGTAATCAACATTAACTAAGTGGGCTTCACTAATTGCCCATAAAACTGACTCTCTCTTTGTCTCTCTCTCTCTCTCTCTCTCTCTCTCTCTCTCTCACACACACACACACACACACACACAAAGCCAAATATTCTAAGACATTCACTGAATATATTTTCAACAATGAAAACATAGATTTACTCCTTTACTTATTTTTTATATATCTACCAACCAGGAGAAGAGCAAAATGAAAATGTATCTCTTTCTCTCTTAAGAAAAACAAGACTGTCTCTTGGGTACACGTCACACTACTGACTCACATGTTTGATAACAACAAGGAAAACGCAGGAGGAAGGTGCACATCTTCTCTTAAGATGAAAGGCTGTGTCTTTTTAGGTACAAATGACCTCCTACCAGACATACGATTTATTTATTTTTTTAAATCTGGGAACAAAAATGGTCAGGTATACAAGTGATTGATTCAGTCCTTGGAGGTACAGAAGGTGGCTGGACAGTGAGCACCTTCTACTGCCCTGTGCCCCAGGGGAGGATAAATGTAGTTTCTTATATGGGTTTAGATAATCCTAAAAACCTGTCCGTCTCACAGCAGTGGCGTACATGTATTTATTCAAAGAATTCCCACTGACTTTTAAATAGACTCCTAGTGCAGTGTATAAAGGGAGGTAAATCATTGTCATGATACCCCAATAGTAATCAGGTCAACAGTATGACACTCTAAGTAAGAAAATGGGCTGAGCCCTGGCCGGTTTGGCTCAGCGGTTAGAGCGTCCGCCTGCGGTCCAAAGAGACCCAGGTTCGGTTCCCGCTAAGGGCACGTACCTCGGTTGCAGTTTGTCCCCGGCCCTGGTTGGTCGTGCGGGTGGCAGCCACTCGATGTGTCCCTTTCACATCGATGTTTCCCTCTCTCTCTCTCTCTCTCTCTCTCTCTCTCTCTCCCTCCCACACTGTCTGTACAAAAAATGGAAAAATGTCCTCGGATGAGGATTAAAAAAAAAAAAAAAAAAGAAAGAAAATGGGCTGATGATGGTGTCTCTGTAGCACCTTTGATTTGTCCCCTGACCTCTTGAAGATGGTAAAGGTGCTTTGCTATGCCATCAGAAACACCTTACTTCCCTGCTCAGAGATTTTAATGACATAAATCACAAAACATGTGTTTAAGAGAATCCAGACTTCTCAAGTGAGAAGCTTCATTGTGCTGGATTTTTTTCTCCTCTGCAATATTTTAATAAATTATTTCTCCTTCTTCTTATCAAAATTATTTTTGTGCATGTAAAAGATACACTTCTAAATTATTGGTCACAATGCTATTGATACATCACTATATTGGAAATATTTTTGCAGTGTTAAATTCACAACTGGCATTGGATATACTTTCAAGGTCTAAAGCAATGTTTGCTTCATTTAAGCAAACCAGAGGAAATGGTGAACACAGGATGCAAGAATCTAGCTTCTGAGTCTCATGCTCTATCTGTGCAGGCCAGCCAGCCTTGTCTGCTCTGAATTATACGAGCCTCAGGGATTTGTGTCACTGTATTACATATTTACTAGGTCACCTGGATTTTGTCTCCTTCTCCCAGAAAGGTCTACACAGCATACATCATTCAGCAATGGGGAGTATATCAGTTGAGGTCCACTCAGGAAAATACAAACATTGGGACTAAGAGAAGAAATTTAATCCAGAAATTTGATTACACAGGTGATGGGAGAAGTAAAAAAGCAAACAGAGCCCTGGCCTGCAGACCAAAGGGCCTTGGGTTCAATTCCGGTCAAGGGTGCCTACCTGGGTTGCAGTTCTGATCCCCGACCCTGGAGTCATGTGGGAGGCAACCATTCAATCTCTCTCTCTCTCTTTCTCTCTCTCCCTCCCCGTCTTCCATTCTCTCTAAAAAAAATCAATGGAAACATATCCTTGGGTGAGGATTAACGCCCACCAAAAGTAGACATTGAGGGAACCCAGAAATTAGCCACAGCAGGAAGTTGTTAGGTTGAAGGGACAAAGCAAAGAGGCAAAGTGACCAGAGACCGGAGCCCAGGTCCACCGGCATAAGCTGAAACAATAGCAGACCTGTTCTGCTCCAGCTGAAGCCCTAAAGAAGATGTAACAGCAGATGGTGACTGTGGAGAGAGAGTTTGGGGGTGAATGCCTAAAATGTCTTTGCCTTTCACCCTCTAGTCTCTCCACAGTGGCTCCCTTGGTTGAAGCCCTTGGAGCCTGCAAAACCCCACCCACAGGGGTCAGCTCCCCTGGAATACAGGGCAGAGCAACAGAAGAGGGAGGAATGGGTCTGATGGGAAATCTATCAAAGACTCACAGAGGGGAGCTGGTACTGATAAGTTAGCATTGGTGTGCCATCAGCTGATCACAATGCCAGACAGACAGGAAATGGCTGTTGGTTGGGCTGGTTTTCATGTTATACATTCACATGTTCATTAGGGTTTTTATTAAAGTCTTGGTTTCCTGGATTCAAAAAGACAAATATTTACTGCGAGCCTATTGTGTGCCCGGCACTGTTTTGCAGTTATTGTGTTGCTTTGTTTGCTTTTTTCACAAGGGGGTGGACAGAGAGGTCTAGGGGGCATGCTCACCAGGCAACATCCTGGAACAGAAATACACTGGCAATTGAATCAATAAATTGGCCTCCCTTCCATCAAAGTAAAAGTATCCTCAAGTGGGAAGTTATACAGAGACTTTTTGATAGCATAGGTTCTTTCCTTATTTTGGCATAAAGTGTGCACTATTGGCAGCAATTCTGAAACCAAATAAGGGGTGGCCTAGTACTCTTTACCAAACATGAGCCTTTACATCTCAATTTTAAGGCTTTTATTTTGTTTCCCAAAACGTTGTCTGATTTTTTAAAAATTTCAAGCCATTACTGAAGAGAGAACAAGGACTGTGGTCTTTTTATTTGTTCTCACTGTCAGTTCTGGTTTGGGCAGTAGAAATTATGTAGTAAATGTATCTGTTTCAATCTGTAACTTTTGTAAAAAAAAAAAAAAGTGATCCTTCCATCCACTAAATAAATGTTGAGCAACTATAAAAAGAAGAAGTCTATTTTCATCACTTTGCCATGGAGACCCACTGTCTTAATTCAACTCTGATCCTAGCTCTGATTGTGTTAACGTCTTGTTGAAATTTCATTCAGTGTTCTCTTCTGCAACCTGGACTAGCTGGGCCAAAACATCTGTGATGATTCAAACTATTTATACTGTTTCCGGGTGCAAAGGAAGCAGCAGAGTCCGTTAGCCTCAACACCCATCTAAAAGGCACCTTGAGAAATTACCCAGTCAGCTTGGCAGAATTCCCCCTCTGCTCAAACACTATGGAAAGAAGAGGAGTTTAGTAGGAGTTCTAAGCAAAGTATTATCCAAACACAAATTTATAACAATTACCTAATAACTTTATTTTGTCAAGTATTTAATCATTTAAACAATACCTGTAGACATGGGTCCCCTTGATATCAGTAGTGTACACGAGCTGCATCTAAGACAGAGAGACAGAGAATGAATTTCTGTTAGAATGTTGATGTTCATCTACACCCAGAATTAGAGAATGTCTTTAGCTAGAGGACTGATGATTAGCATATCTCTGAGATCCTTTTATAAGGCAGAGGAATACCAGCCATACCACAGAGAAAGGCCAAATTCTAAGCAGGGTATATGCCCTGGGAACAAACAATACCCCTCTCCCTGCCCTAAAAGCACAGTAATAGAGAAGTACTCAGATAGAAAGTATAAAACACACAAAATGAGGCAGAGCAAAGCCTCTAGGATAGTGGCTAGGGGAAGATCATAACGTGATTAAGTTTAACATACCAAAATAAGAACGTGTGACTCTAAGGATAGTTGGCTAGCAATTTATTTATGTGTTGAACAAATACTTACTGAGAGACTGTCATGTGTCAGAGCTAGAGATACAGCCATCAAAACACAAAACAACAACAAACACACACACAAAAATTGTTTACCCTGGATCTTACATAATGAGAAACAGATAAGAAACAAATATGTAAAAAATAAATTAATTAATATGTAACATTAATCAGGGATGGGAAATAGGAAATGCAGAACAAATGGCAATTATAAATGCATTCATCACCATAAAAAAGAATGAAATCTTACCATTTAGGACAACATGCATAGACCTAGATAGTATTATTCTAAGTGAAATAAGTCAGACAGAGGGAGACAAATACTATATGATTTCACTTATATGTCGAATCCAAAAGACAAAATAAACAAATAAAACAAAAACAGACTCATAGATATAAAGAACAAACTGATAGTTGCCAGATGAGAGGGGTGTTGAAGGGATGGGTAAAAAAGGTGAAGAGATTAAGAAATACAAATTGATTCAATACCATAAAAATCCTAGAAGAAAACACAGGCAGTAAAATCTCTGAAATTTCTCTTAGTAATATTTTTTCTGATATATCTTCTCAGGTAAGGGAAACAAAAGAAAAAATAAATGGGACTACATCAACCTACAAAGTTTTTGCTCAGCAAAGGAAACCAAAAACAAAATGATAAGAACACCCACTGAATGGAAGACTATATTGGCCAATGACACGTCTGATAAGGGGTTAATATCCAAAATTTATAAAGAACACATACAACTCAATGCCAAAATAACAAACAATCCACTTAAAAAGTGGACTGAATAGTCACTTCTCTAAAGAGGACATACAGATAGTCAATAGACATGTGAAAAGATGCTCAACGTCATTAATCATCAGAGAACTTCATAGTAAAACCATAATGAGATATCACCTCACACCTGTCAGAATGATGACCATCAATAAATCAACAAACAATGAGTGTTGGCGAGGATGTGGAGAAATGAAAAGCCTCGTGCACTGTTGGTGGGAATACAAACTGGTATAGCCACTGTGGAAAACAGTATAGAAGTTCCTCAAAAAATTCAAAATGGAACTGTCTTATGACCCAGTGGTTCTCTTTTGGGTATATATCTGAAGAAATCCAAAACACTAATTAAAAGAATATACACACCCCTATGTTCATTTCAGCATTATTTACGATAGCCAAGATATGGAAGCAACCCAAGTGCCCATCAATAGCAGAGTGGATAAAAAAGTGGTGGTACAGGCCTGAACGGTTTTGCCCAGTGGTTAGAGTGTCAGCCTGCAGTCCAGAGAGACCCAGGTTCAGTCCCCACTAAGGGCATGTACCTCGGTTGCAGTTTGTCCCTGGCCCTGGTTGGGTCGGGCTGGTGGCAACCACTGAATGTGTCCCTTTCACGTTGATGTTTCTCTCTCTCTCTCTCCCTCCCACTCTATCTGAACAAAAAATGGAAAAAATGTCCTCAAGTGAGGATAAAAAATAAAAGTGGTGGTACATATATACAATGCAATATTACTCAGTCATAAAAAAGAAAGAAACCTTACTATTTGCAACAGCATGAGTGAACTTAGAGGGTATTATGCTAAGTGAAATAAGTCAGTCAGAGAAAGACAAATACCAAGCGATTTCACTTAGATGTGGAATCAAAAGAACAAAATAGATGAACAAACAATATAGAACCAGACTCATAAATACAGAGAACAGACCGACAGTTGCCAGAGGGTAGGCAGGTGGGAGACTGAGTGAAAAAGGTGAAGGGATTGAGAAGTACAGATTGGTAGTTATAAAATAGTCATGTAGATGTAAAGTACAGCATAGGAAATATAGTCAATAATATTGTAATAACCATGTATAGTGCCAGTTGGGTACAGGAAATATCAGGGGGCACACTTTGTAAAGCACATGATTGTCTAACCACTATGCTGTACACCTGAAACTAGTAAAAAATAATGTTGAATGTAAACTGTAATTGAAAACATTTTTTTATTTTAAAGAAACCTAAAAAAAAAGAAAAAGAAATACAAACGAGAGTTATAAAATAGTCACGAGGATGTAAAATACAGGATTGGGAACACAGTCAATACTATAGTAATAACTATGTTTGGTGCCAGGTGGGTACTAGATTTATCAGGGAAATCACTTCATAAATTATAAAATGGTCTAACCACTATGCTGGAACCTGAAACTAATATAATATTGAATGTCAACTGTAACTGAAAAACAATTAAAAATAAAGATAAATATAAATAAATAGATTGCTGAAGGACTCCCTGAGAAGGGGACTGTTGAGCATGAACTGACAGGAGGTGAGAAAAGTTTGCAGATATCAGGAGTAACCTGGTCCAGGTAGAAAGAACAGTAGCAAGAACACCCTAGAACATCTGGGAACAGTGCAGCCTGAACAGAATGAATCAGTGAGATGGAGCAAAAAGTAAAAGCGGCCAGAACACACAGGTAGGGTGACCATATAATTTATTGTTCAAACTGGGAACACTTTTGAGAGTGAAAGAGTCTACTAAAAATATTTTATATTGCATACTTTTAAAAATATGTATTTATTGACCAAGATTTTGGTTTTATTATATTGATGAAACTACAAAATTTTACTTATTTTCAAAGTAAAATTTTCTAGAATATTTTAAAAAGACACATAGTTATGACCAGCAAAGCCAAAAAAATTATAAACCTTTTCTATTGATTATTTGAACATTTAAGAATAGCACAAGTAAATTATTATTCTTGATATATGTTCATATACCTTAACTGGTTATGTAGCCATTATTGTCTCTTACATTGCAATGTAGAGATTTTTCTGAAAATGTCTTGTTAAATATTATCTTATTTGTTTTTATTTTTTTTCATAAAGCCACAGTCTTCTGCAAAGCTGCATTTTATGGTTAATATTTTTGAACTTGTTGACGCTTTTAATTGATACTTCTCTGTAGACCATAATTTTTTCATTGAGAAAGTACTCTCTCTAGATGCTGATGAACCTATAAGTTCAGAAAATACCTGGTAAATGGAGGATATTCTCAATTCTATTTATATTATATATGCATAAATATTTCAGCCCCAATATTTTCACAGGTGCTGTATTTCTACCTCCATTCAAAGCACCTTTCTTCAATAATATATTTATAAGATACATCTATTAAGTTGTTTCTATGTGTGATCTTTTTAGGCATTTCATCAAATGTTGATAATGCAAAATGACAGGCCTTCACAATTTCATCCCATTCTGGTGGAGAATGTAAATTTATCCAATTAAAATGAAGAGCTCTGTCAAAGTCAAGATTTTTACAAAGCACAATTTTCAAATTAGGGGATTAAATCATTTGAGCTCTCATCTTTTGATTTGTTTAATTCCCTCCTGGCTTTTGTAGGCAGAAATTTGAGCTTCTTCCTTTTTTGTAAGCTTTGTTTTATATAATTGCAACTTGCTAAAAGCTTCAAACACTGAATTTTCATGCTACATTCATTGAATATTTTATTAAATATTTCCAACTGATTTTGTACCTACTGTGACCTAAATTTAGGTTGCTTTACAAAATGGCTTTTCAAAGCCTCAGGCATTTCTAAAATCCAATTGATGATAGAGAGAAAATATATACAGTCATGCTGAAATATTTTGGAATCCGACATCAGTTTCTGTCACAAAAATTTTGTAGATGATACACACACACACACATATACACTCTGATTTAGATTATATACACATATAATACTTGTGTATTTTGATTGGTAGAATATTGCAGCTTATTTGAATGCAGTCACACACTTGTTGACATCACAATCAGTTCCAAGTGCATTCTGCTCCATAGGTTTGTTAGTATGTTAAGAATATTAATTTTACCACAGTACTGTTCTCCACCAAATTTGTATTCATATTATCACTCCTCCCCCCAAAAAACAACATTTAGTCTTCATTGTTGAACTTTTCAACTAAATTTACAATGGCATTAACAATGTCAGATGTTTCATTTTTGACAGAAGAATGAACTTCTACTTTATGCTGATCCTTTGAATCATATGACAAAATGAAACCATTTTGCAATACACAAATTCTCTAATTGGGGCCTCTAATGACACTGATATAAATCTGACCTTATCTGATGGTTGGCAAAGGGAATCAACTTCCTAATCATCACCAGTTCACTTTACTTCCAAGCACAAAAAACTTGGAATTGAAAATGAGCACAATTACTTCAGAGTCAGTTGACCCAAACGGAAAGGTGTGTTTCACAGTGACATGCAAACACGCCTCCTGCAGCTGCACATGTTAAGTCATCATCTTGGTCTACATTCTTCTTAAATTAAGTATTAACTTTTGAAGTAAATGCTGATGCTTCTTCATCATATCTGTGTCTTCCACTTTTCAAAGAGACAGTGTTACCTCTCCTTACCTCCATGGTGGACAGTAAATATTGACAAATATTTTGTGGAAATGACACATTCATATCAACCTTCTTGAGAACATTAAACATGTAGTTTTGGTTTTGTTTTGAGTCAAATGCTACTAAAAGTTTTTATTGCCAAATTAAAAGGTATTAGCAAAGAATTAAACAGTTATAGTTTTTTTTTTTTTATCCTCACCTGAGGACATTTTTTTATTTTTTGTTCAGATAGAGCGGAGGAAGAGAAAGAGAGAGAAACATCGATGTGAAAGGGACACATCAAGTGGCTGCCACCAGTACGATCCAACCAGGACCGGGGACAAACTGCAATCCAGGTACATGCCCTTAGCGGGAACCGAACCTGGGTCTCTCTAGACCGCAGGCCGACACTCTAACCGCTGAGCCAAACTGGCCAGGGCTAAACAGTTATAGTTTTATACATACAATGCAAAAACTGCTTTAACAGAAACATTTAGATGAAAAATAGAATTTGTACGACATTAAACCACAATTTCCTATTTTTCTTTCTGACCCTGAGGAGGATCCCGGCATCTCAAAGGCCACCAAGTGGAACACAGCAGGGCATGAATGGTGGTATAACATGTGGCCAGCAGGGGAAAAGCCTCAAAACTATTCCCACCACCACCCATGACCAGAGAAATTACCTAGTCTGACTACTGTGCTTAAACTCTTCACTTTAACAGCCAGCACCTTGCATAATATTCTTGAAAGTGGGCTATCATTTAGGTTTTGTCTGAACAGGACCAGGAAAAGATGACTTATTGTTAGTCATCTTTTAGATTTAGCCATAATAAAGTAAGAACTCTGTTGACTGTATGTGTGTTTTATATACTACTACTTGAGACCATATAAAAAGCCAAAAGAACATAATGGTTTCTTAACCCATGCTGGTTTACTTGACTATAAATTCTAATAAGAAAAGTTTACAAAAAATGGAAAATCTGGGGTAAAAGGTAAGGCCAACAAATGGATGTCAAGAAAACAACCCAGGCCTGGCTCTTGGTTCAAAGTGAATCAAGACATATGGCCACCCCACAAAGATCAGTGTAAAATGACTGTGACTTGTACTCCAGATTAGATGAGAATTCTGAGTAGAAAAATGACATGATCTGATTTAAGTTTTATGGGATTACCCTGGCTGCTATTTTAAGAATAAATTGCAGGGGGCAAGGGTAGCAGACCAGTTAGAGACCTAGGACTATGATTTAGCAATGAGAACAAAGACAGTAGCTCCCTAGGAGAGAGATGAATGTATACCCTTAAAGCTCTATCTGTGTAGCTGGAGGGAAGAACAGTTAAAGGGGAAACCTACCCCTGGGCTCAAACTGTGGAGCTGTGCCACTGGTGATTTCATACACTAGTGTACAAGGATGGATCCGAATATCAGAGTTCAAAAACACCAGAAATGAAGAGCATCTACTTAATTCCTCTTGCACTAACTCCATTCTTATCAAGCAATCTTCTAATTATAAAGTAGGTGCATGTAGACTTATCCATAGGACACAAAGACTAGCATCTGTTCTACTTGATAGTTTTAACTCTAACCAGAAACTAATAAATTGAATTTCTGATGTTTTGAGACAGTATTTTTTATGAGTTTAGTTTGTTTGTGTTGGTTTCCTAGAGTTTCATTACCTCTGGCTATACCAATATCTGAATGTTTTTAACATATTCACTAGAAAATCAGACCTGCAAAGTGGTGACCCTAAAACGTCACCCTGAAAATACTTGTCTGAGCTGCCATGTGGCCTTGCCCAGGAGATCTCTGGCCTTATTGACAGTAATAACAGAATATCCCAAGTTAATTAGGGAATACACTATTATTATGCCCCCATAGAAAAAATAAAATTAGTTCTCAGAGACTTCTTCTATGATGATATTTTCAATCTTTTCCTCTTTCCAAAACTAACCACCTTTAAGTTATCATTGAGGGATATTTTTTCTTATTCTTAGATATATGATTGTCCTTTCACATTATTTTATATGAGATACAATTCGTTTTCAGAAAGCACTCAAATGTCTATAGTCAAGGCGCTCCGATAAAGGAAAAGTTACCGGAAAGGGGTTTGTGTCATCCCGAACAGAAGGAATGGCTGGGGTCTCAGCACCGTCACTCTCATTTTTGGAGTGCTGATCCACGGGAAGAGGAGCCGAGCTGGAGTATTCACCGCTGTCCTGGAGGGTGGAGCGCTCCAATTCTTCCAACAAAGCATCTGTATCATAGTACAACAGGGAATCAGAGTACAGAATATGGAAGTCTTCTGGAGTAATTTTCCTTAAATAGCTCCCCCTATGCCTCCATTCATCTCCCTCTTCTCTTAGGTTGAGATGTTCTTAAAACATCTTCCCTTACTCCTTATTTTACTTCTAGAATGTGGTCTATTCTACCAAAAGATGTTCAAAGCCTCCACATGCTGTGGGCCCGTTTCTTATTTCCTATGGTTGCATCCAGTTTCATAGTCTCACGCTATAATTTGACTTATTTTATTGCAGAGTATTAATTTTTGTCATTTATTTGAGGTGAATCACTCATAAAGATCCCCAACTAGAAAAAAAGTAAATTATACATATTCTTACTATCAAAAAATATGTGATTATATTACAGTTTTTAAAAATATACCAAGACAGTAATATTTATTCTTAAACTTGTTAATTTTTATTTTCTTATATCCCATGCACATAACAAAATTCCCAAAGAGTATAAATATTCTGTCTTTTAGAGTGTGGGGAGAAAAGGAGACTGGGAAAAAAACAGATATTATGAAATCAAGCAAGATGTTGTAAACCAAATAGTTGAGATTGTTTCTCTTGTATGTTCTTGGGACAAAACAATAAACTCTATGACAAGTATTACAATATTACCTTTCTGTTATGAGGAAATTAATAACAATTAATAAAAATTAATATATAATAGGCAATGTGGTCAGGAGTTTATACATTTAAGTTAGTTATTGTAATTCTTTGAGGCAGGTGATATTATTATGCTTATTTTGTAGATCAAGAAATGGCCAAATAAATTGTTTGAGTTCACACTGTTACTGGGTTCAGAACCTGGCTGTTTGACCCTGGGCTATCTGATCCCCTGCCCCTACATTAACTTTAAGTCAGAAATTCCAGTCCTCATTCTCACATGGATTCTCTGGATCATCTGGGCATGACATATTCTCTGAAGCTGTTTCTTCATCTACATAATAAAGCAATTATAGTATAAAAAGTATATTTCAAATTGTGGGTCAAGACCCATGAGTGGATCTCTAGTGGTTTCCTTACCATAGGTGGTAGTTTTAGAAGTTTGCAAAACACTAGATTATATTATTTCTAAGGATCTGTCTAGATCTGAAGTCCTCAGATGAAGAAAATGAACTTCACACTTTATTTTAATTTTTATTTTTATTTTTTTTAATCCTCACCTGAGGACATTTTTCCATATTTTGTTCAGATAGGGTGAGAGGGAGAGAGAGAAAAAAACATCAATATGAAAGGGACACATCGAGTGGTTGCCACCCGCATGACCCAACCAGGGCCAGGAACAAACTGCAACCGAGGCACGTGCCCTTAGCAGGAACCGAACCCGGGTCTCTCTGGACCGCAGGCCAACGCTCTAACCGCTGAGCCAAACCGGCCAGGGCTCACACTTTATTTTAAAGAAAAGATTTTCATTTACTTTCGATGTTGGGGGTATGAATGTTTCTTTATGGCATAAGAAAAGATCTAATCATTTCTTACACATGAAACCTACAGATCTTTCATACATGGGATACAAAACTGAAAGCAAAGAATGAACAAACAACAAAAACTCATAGATACAGACAACAGTACCGGAAGGAAAAGGGGGTGGGGTAGTAAAGGATAATGGTGGTTGAATATATTGTATCAGAAGGATATTTGATTTGGGGTAGTAAAAACACAGTGCAATGTACAGATGATGTGTTATAGAATTGTACACTTGAAACTATATAATTTTATTAACTAATGTACATGATAAATTTAATTTTTTAAATGTATATATGTGTCCGGCTGGTGTGGCTCAGTGGATTGAGTGTCATCTCATGGACCTCTCAGTCCCGGTTGGATTCCCGGTTAGGCACATACCTGGGTTGTAGGTTCAGTCCCCAGTAGGGGGCGTGCAGGAGGCATCCAATCAATGTTTCTCTCACATCAGTATTTCTCCCTCTCTGTCCTAAAAAAATCAATAAAAATATATTTTTTAAAAATTTACATATCTTTCTATAACCTTTTTCATTTTAATTGTGATGTGTCTTGGTGTCAAAGACAGAATATTAAAAGCAGCAAGAGAAAAGCAGTTAGTTACCTACAAGGGAACTCCCATAAGAATGCCAGTTGATTTCTCAAAAGCAACTTTGCAGGCCAGAAGGGTGTGACAAGAAATATTCAAAGTGATGAAAAGCAAGGACCTACAACCAAGATAACTCTAGCATGCAAAGCTATCATTTAGAATCGATGGACATATCAAGAGCTTCCCAGATAAGAAAAAGCTAAAGAAGTTCATCATCACCAAACCAGTGTTTTATAAAATGTTATATGAAATGTTGAAGGGTCTTCTTGAAGAAGATAAAAAATATGAACAATAAAATGGCAATAAATACATATCTATGAACAAGTGAATCTACAAACCAAATAAACAAGCAGAACAGAAACAGACTCATAGATGCAGAGAACTTTTTGATGGTTGTCAGATGGAAGGGGGTTGGGGGAATGGGTGTAAAAGGTGAAGGGATTAAGTGCAAATTAATGGTTGTTAGACTGATGAACTTCAGAGGGAAGAGGGGGCAGCTGGGAAGAGATAAACCAAAAAACTTATATGCATATATGTATAACCAGTGGACACAGAAAATAGTGTGGGAGAAGGGAGGGAGCGGGGAGGAGGGGGTCAGTGGGGAAAAGAGGGCGGGAGCATCTGTAATACTTTCAACAATAAAGATAAATTTAAAAAATTAAAAAATCAATAAAAACACTAAAAAAATCTACATATCTTACTAAGTCATCCACATCACAATGTATTGAATTTCTTAATGATATAAAACTTTATAACTCTTGCTATTTAGGATAGATGCAATTGTTGTGACATGCTTAATTTTAGAAATGGCATTACACACAATACAATGGAAATCCGATACTTTAAAATTAATATTGACAAATGATACTGAGAGTTTCTATAATGTTAAAAAAAAATAGACATTTCAGACAGTCAAACATAATTCTCATTTCCTCCTCAAAGGAGAATCAATACAATTGAAAGAAAGTCCAAATTAATTGGAGTTGATTTTCATCCTGTATTACTGAATGTGGGGGGGGGGGGTCTCAATTGCTCAATTTATTCAATCATCTTCTCCCTATATATTTAATATGACCATTTGCTTAGGTTTATGGTTGTGTGGATGGAAATCCTAAAAAGAAAAGAAAAAGACAAATATTCATAAGGTCAACATTGTGAGCATATGTATAGCTCATTCTACTATAAGAAAATACTAGATATTTATATTCACAAAAATCTTAGTTTGAGCAATAAAGTATTTTAATTTGAAACATAACTTTACAGAGTTTAATTAGTGATAACTTGCCATCTAATTGTATATAGGAAGCTGCTGTTCGGCCCTGTTTTTTTGTTTGTTTGTTTGTTTGGTTTCTTGTTACAGATGTTTCTCCTTTTTCCCCCATTGACACCCTGCTCCTGATCTGGCCCTCCCCCCACCCTTCGTCCCCAGCATTGTTGTCTATGACCATGGTTACTCGTACATGCATATAAGTTCTGTGGTTTATCTCTTCCGTTCTCCACTTCTGAGGTTTGTCAGTCTGTACCCTACTTCTATGTCTCTGAGTCTATTTTGTTCCTCAGTTTGTTTGTTCATTGTATTCCACAAATAAGTGAGATCATGTGATATTTGTCTTTCTCCAATTGGCTTGTTTTGCTTAGGATAATACTCTCCAGGTCCTTCCATGTCGTCTCAAAGGATAAGAGATCTTTCTTACAGCTGCATAGTATTCCATTGTGTGCATGTACCACAGCTTTTTAATCCACTCATCTATTGATGGACACTTGGGCTGTTTCCAGATCTTAGCTATTATAAATAGTGCTGCTATGAACATAGTGGTACATATATTCTTTCTGATTGGTGTTTCAGGCTTCTTAGGATATATTCCTAGAAGTAGAATCACTGGGTCAAATGGGAGATCAATTTTTAGTTTTTTGAGGAAACATCATATTGTTTTCCATAGTGGCTGCACCAGTCTGCATTCCCACCAGCAGTGTACTAGAGTCCCCTTTCTCCACACCCTCGCCAGCACTTGTTATTTGTTGAAGGCAGCCATTCTGAGAGGTATGAGGTGATACTTCATAGTTGTTTTCATAAAATATTGAATTTTATGCATTATTTTAGAGATAAGAAAACTGAGCTAAATTCTTCAGAGAAAATTACCCTTCAACAAATAAATTGCAATGAAAAAAGAGATGGAGGGTGACACAATAGATTAGAGAAGACTTTCGAAACTTATAACCAATTTCAGTATATGAACCTTAGTTTCCGAGAGAAGGGAGACCCTCTACAAGAGAAACAAACCATACAACTAAGAGTAGAAGGCTACCCTTATAAGGACCCTCTAGCCAAAGTTGTTGAAACTCTCTTGTCTGGGTCATGAGTTGACAGGCCTTTCTCTTCCTGTTTCCTAAGCGCACATATCACCCACACCCCAAGATTATCTTGTCTTTTGCCAGATTCTGTAATTTGAAGATGACTAATTTCAATATGACAAATATGGGGTGACTGGTAGTGGGGGATACCAGACTGAAAGCTCTACAGTCCTTCTCTGTAGCCCTTCATCTGTAGAAATCTAATAGTTATTGGTATTAACATGAAAAGATTTGTACAGCAAGGTCTCTTGGGGGCTCTTACTGGATTGTAATGACTTAATACAGAGCCAGAGTCTGTTCTTGGTTTCCCTGTGTAATGGAGAACGCAGAAGGAAAGCCAGGCATACCTGTACCAACCTGTCCTCCACACTACTTCTCCAAAGCAGGAAGAGAGACCCACCCTAAGTTTTTAGAGTAGCTATTGGACTGACGACAATTTGAAGTGGTTGCGGTTTAGCCACCTGAATCATCTACAAGAATATTACCTACCAGGCTGCATGGTTCTTTCTACATTTCTGGACCAGATTTCTCTACCACTTATCCTGCTCAAGAAATACAAAACTGTGTAAATCTATTTAGTTATTGTTTTTATTATCTGGGTTATTCTATCAGCCAGAACACCTGAGCCAACACATTTCTCAAACAGGAGAACACCTTGTAGCTTAATCCGTTTTGGTATCAGGTGCTCCTGAGAGTGACACTGAACTAGTTATTTTGCTTTTCTTAGTTTTCTCATTTTGGAGGAAAAAAAGTGAATAATACCCATTTTAGAGGATCGCTTCAGACACTAAACTGATTAACATATGTAAAAATGTCATTTTAGTTTAAGTGACTGAAAAAGTATTAGTTGCTTTTTTTAATAACCTGCATGAAGGCCATTCAGTATCCCTAAAATAGAAAAGCAAAGCTGGGCTCTAGTGGAACTCAGGTAAAAATGTGAAATTTCCCACCTCTCACACAGGGTAAGAATTTGGATTCTACCCCAAGTGTCAAAATAGACTTTACCTCTAAAACAGTTCAATATGTATTTATCAAACACCACCTTTTCCTCCTCCCTCCTATGACTTGCCTTCCTTATACTATTCTTCCAACTCTCAAACTACACCCCAATTTTTTAAAAAAGACAATATGCAAGATGTTTTTTGTCGTTGTTTGCACTTTTGACATACCCCAAATACACAAAAACTCATGACACTGTAGTATTAATATAGCTTGGAAATTGCATTAGTGACTCAGTGTTAGTAAGGATGTCAGCAATAAAAGTTGGCAAAGGATACAGAATGAATTCCCAAGAATGACAAACCTTACATTACTCCAAAGATTTAAATCAAGGATCTCTCTTGAGCAATATGGCCAGTTTCACTACTGGTTTTAATTGCTTTGGAATGGAAGGAGGTATTATATTTGAAGGCCGCAGTAATCTGTTCCTTCAGACTTCCTCTGAATAAAAGGCTGAGTAACAACATCTCTGGCATTATAGTGCTATGTCATGACATTAAATATGTCATGATTTAATACTAAATCATAGAACAATTGAAACCACTCTGGCCCTTCTCCAATCTTTGTGAATCCTTCACTCTTGTATTTTTCTTTCTGCTCGTCATACAGTTTTCTTTCTTTTTCTCCTCAAACCACATCTCTACTGTTGCCTACTGTGTGATCACTGTATGATCTTCAGTAGCCCCCAAAGGGCAAATGCTCATTAAAAAATGACCATTTCAATCACAATTCAATCTAAAAGTATTTGTGCGAAATTTACTCTGTGGTTCGCACCAAACCCTCAGCCACCAAAGCAATGAACCCATATTTCCCCATACAATCAGAGTTCCTCATGCTTTACTCTTGGTGAGCTGAGGTCAGGAGAGAAGTGAAAATAAAATCTTCCGGCACTACCCTCCATCTGGCTAGTCGTACACCCCACCACGCATGGAGATGGCAGCCAAGTATTTATTCCCTCAGTTTCTCTACCAAGAGGCTCCTCACTCACCCAATTCTTCCATTGTCACACAGCCAAGATGCTCTGGTACCACAGGTTGTGAGGAACTGCTTTGGTCTGTGCTGAAGAAGAGGACCGCAAAGGAACTGAATAAAACGGTGTGAAGCAGCCTCTATAACCCTTTTTGGTTCCTGTATTTGCTTAGCACTTCCTCTCTTTTGATTTGGTGAGTTTCTTTTTTATAGGTCAGAGTTTTAAAAATGGGACTGACATAGAAAGGCGGGTAGTAAAATTGGAACTCTGGTGGTACACTAGCCAGGGCAATTTAGATTCAAAATAAATTTTGGAAAATTTGAGCACCTATTACATGCCAGAATTCATCTTCAGTTCATGGGAATGGTAGCTCTGCCTTGTGTTTTTTCCCAATGTTTGTGTCCCACTGCAACTGTGCATCAGGAAACTTGCCCTTTTTTTTCTTTCTGTGAAGCTGGGGGACCATGGAGGCATAGTTTGTTTCATAAAATGTCCATTAGAGTTCACCAGCACCTGATTCACTTTGCTATCTTTATCTGATTATATATAAGTTATATTTATCTGATTTCCTGAATAGATTGTAAATCCATTAAGTGTGGCAGAGGTGCATTCACTTTTGGATTCTTGGGGCCTGGTTTATTTCAGTGGTCCAAAATGTAAACAACTACAGGAATCATAAAGAAGGGACTGGAAGATTTAAGACACACAGTGCTAGACTGCAGACTTCTCAATTCCTGCCTAGTTACACTGCTTCATAGCAGTCTTCTGAGAAGTGATACTGAGGTTAACTTTTACCTCTTTTTTTAAACTGCTAATTTTATTCACCTTGAACAAAGTAAAACATTTAGAAAGGCCTACTATGGGAAGGCAGTGTGTAAAGAACCATAATTACGGTCCTGTGAAATAGCTATTACCCTTATTTTTTTTTTACCAGTGGTGAAATAGATTAAAAGAATAGTAATTTGCTAAAGTAATAGAATTAATAGGAAGCTTTTCTACCTAATATAATCTACATTTAACTTCAAAGCTTATGAACTTTCCTCTATAACACAGTGGTCTTTTTTTAGATGATCTAAAGGAATCATTTATTCTGCCTTCCCTAGTGACTCTGAAGACTTTTTTTTTTAATGGAGAGTCCCACTCTGTATTACTTTGAGCAGCCATTGGGTGTCAGTGCTGTTCCAAAAGCCTGCATACTGTAAAAGAGGGTCTGAAAAAATTCCCATCCACTCTATGCCACTTTTTGCAACTGAAATGTCATTAATCTCATGAAAGTGCAAAACACTCAATAAAAATTAGAAAACATTTGCCTTATCTGAAGTGGTAACTGAGCCAAAGTACTGGAAGAGAAAATGCACTTCAGCGCTCGGCTTGCAAATACTGTACTGTATCTGCCGCCTTAACCAAATGATTAATGTGAAATTTATAACTTGATTCCCCAGATCTTGTTTCCATCCGCTTTCTTTGGGCATTTTACCCCGCGATGCTTTCTTTTCCAGGGGTAAGAAAGTGGTCCAGCCCTGGCTGGTTTGGCTCAGTGGTTAGAGCGTCCGCCTGAGGTCCAGAGACACCCAGGTTCAGTTCCCGCTAAGGGCGCGTACCTTGGTTGCAGTTTGTCCCCGGCCCTGGTTGGTTGTGCGGGTGGCGACCACTCGATGTGTCCCTTTCACGTCGATGTTTCTCTCTCTCTCTGTTCCTCTCTCTCCCTCCCACTCTATCTGAACAAAAAATGGAAAAATGTCTTCGGGTGAGGATAAAAAAACCCAAAAAACTCCTTTATAATAATACTGTCTAATGTCAGCCTCACTACTAAAAAAAAAAAGAAAGTGGTCCAGCAAATCGTTCCTGGATTATAATGGATGAAAGGAAGAAATGAAGGAATGCGAGAGGCCCACTACCATCACCAAATGCAACTTGTAGATAAGCAAATGGCAACTCCCGTTTATCCCATAGGACGATTTAGTTGCACACACTCTTGGCCTGAAAGGAAATTCTGCCAAAAGTGCTAATCTGCCGTGCTTCCTGTACAGCAGAAACATGTAAAAACCGCAGAAGCAGGTGGCGTCAGAGCGGGAGTCTGAGGTCATTAGTTTCTCCGGGTTAGTGACTCTAGTCACGCTAACATCTTCCCTCCAGCCCAGCGACCACAGCCAAGCCAAGCAGTCGCCGCCTGCTCCTCGGTCTCAACAATGTCCAGTAAACACAACTCCACAATTATTTCCATAAAGTTTTATTAAGAATCAAATAAACGGTAGGTAGGCCCCCGAGGATCCCACAGAACCAGATTCAGTCCCTGACCTCCAGGGGCTCGCAGGTTGGTAGGTCAGACACAGTACAACGAGACAAATATTGCGGACATAAACGCTTGCTGCTCCAGAGGAGGTGCCATCCATCCAAAAGCAGAAACGCTTCGCCAACGCCAAGAGGAAAAGCAGGGAAAATCTTCCCGGAAAATCCTGGCAGGCAACTGGCTAAAACTTGCGCCGGGATCTGCAGAGGCGTTGCGCCTTAACCCGGAAATACTGCCTCCCAGAAAAAGTACACTTGCACTGTGGAAATACCAAACTACTTTCCCCATCGTGCATCAGTCAAAAACTCCCGGCAACCTCTTCGCCTCTGGTTTCCCATCTTTTTTCCTAAACCCTAAGCAGGACTTCACCTCCCAGGTTGCCTTCGGGCAAGTTAACTGTGCGCCTGCGCGGGAGAGGCGGTTCCTCCAAGCCCTCATGACCCCGCCTCTGTTCTACCGCCGCCATTTTTTCAGAGACTTTCATCCGGCAGCGACGGGGCTTTTTTTCTTAAAGGAGAAGCGACAGCTCAAAAAATTTCCCCCTTTTCACTGCAAGACCTGGCAACGCTGGGGACAGAAAGGCCACACAGAGGAAAGTGGGATCGGGGTGGAGGCAGAAGAACGCCGAGGCTACTTCTGCGGCTTAAGGAAGGATAGAAAGAGCCCTTGTGGCATTAGCGGCTCCTTAGGGAGGCAGGTGCGCGCGCAGCCACTCCAGGGAGCGCGCGAGGCGGGGAAAGAGGTGCGTTTTTCTTCCCACCAACCTTTTCGCGAGACCTGCCCCTCCCACTGGCCCTAGCGCGCGTGGAACTCCGGAGGGGGACAAAGGTCACTGTAAGATTGTCGCAGGACGCAGCCGTTTAACGGTGAGAACGGGTGCGCGGGGAAGGAAACCTCGCGCGCTCCCTTGGAGCCGTTCCCTGATTGGTTGAAGGAAGGGGTGGGGGAGGGAACCCGGTACGTCGCTGCGTGAGAGGGGTGGGGCGAAGAAGACATTTCTCCTCTCCGATTGGCCCACGGAGCGCCTTGTCGGGCGCGCGCGCGCGCGGCGACCGCGGCAGCGGGCCTTGAGTGGCAGGGGGCGGGGGGGTGCCCTCGGAGCCGGGCGGAGGGGTGGGGGGGGAGAGAGGAGCGCAGAGTGAGAGAGTGCAGGACGCTCCGGGAGGCAGGGGGGCGGGGGGAGCAGCGCCGCGGCCGCCGCCGCCTCCGCCTCCACCGCCTGGGACGAGGGGGTGGGGGACGGACGAGCCCCGATGCCGGGGGAGACAGAAGAGCCGAGACCCCCGGAGCAGCAGGACCAGGAAGGGGGAGAGGCGGCGGCGGCGGCCAAGGCGGCTCCTGAGGAGCCCCAACAACAGCCCCCTGAGGCGGCGGCGGCGGCGGCGCCTGCGGGGACCACTAGCAGCCGCGTGCTGAGGGGAGGACGGGACCGGGGCCGGGCCGCTGCGGCCGCCGCCGCCGCTGTGTCCCGTCGGAGGAAGGCCGAGTATCCCCGCCGGCGGAGGAGCAGCCCCAGCGCCAGGCCCCCGGACGCCACCGGGCTGCAGTCTCATGCCGCGAAGCCCCAGTCTCCAGCTCAGGGCAAGAAGAGTCCGCGACTCCTGTGAGTAACGCAGTCTTTCAGGCGGTGGGGAAGACCCCCCTCTGTCCGCACGCAGCCCTCTCGGCTCCCGTAGTGCCCACTCCACGTGACATCCTGCCTGCTCTGCCCCCTGCCGGCTCGCACGGCCGATGTCACGCCGCTTCCCAGGTTGCTGTCTGACCGCCCGGTGTCCGTCGGGCCCTTCCCGCTCCCCGGTGACTCGCGCGCGCCCTGCCGTCGCGGGCCGACCCCGCACCCCGGCCTCTGCTCCCGCCTTACATCACACCCCGTTAGGGGACCGACGGCCAGATCCCAGCCCTCGGAAGGGCGTGGGTCCCCCACCCCGCCCCTTCGGTAGCCTCAGCGCGGGTCGGACTAGTCGTTCTGCGGAGCATTTGTCACGGCCAGGTTTTCACAGTACTCCTCACTCGTAGAAACGTGCTCTACTGCTGGGAGGGAGCGCGGCTCCGCGGGCTGAGCGCGGGCTGGTCCGCGCTGCAGCGAGCCGCCTGGCCCTCCTTGCTGTTTCTTGCCTACGTTTTCCTGTCCTTCCCCCTCACAGTGAGAGTCTTCCGAAAGGAGCCCCTTTATTTCCTAGAGACAGTAGAGGAGCCAGGAACATAACTTGTAACACCGTTGGCCGAGAGTCTCCCTTCGTTGAAAATCCCAGAAGTTAGTCACCTTAGCTGTTGATGCCTGGCAGAAACGTCACTCGTGTCTTCTGACGTTCACGTTCAAGAAGATGGGGAAGCAGGGAACTTGAGGGAAAGGAGGCAGTTTTCAGTGCCCGCCTTCCTAGTGGAGTGTGGGAGGACGGCTTGTAGATTCAGAAGGCCTCGGTGCCAGAGCGAAGTTACCACTAGCATGTTTGCACATTCGCTCCTCGCGCCCGCTTTTGAAACAGCCTGTGCCTCGGGTTCCTGTCTGTAGGAATGTTAATCCCTGTGAGAGTAGTTTGTGCGAATTAAACAGCGTGCGAAGCACTTGGCACAGCGACTTTTCGACCTCTTTCATCTCATGGTAGGCACACACAAACTGATTACTAAAATTCTGCAACCCGCCAAAAATATATTTTTTGCTGATATGACAAAAAATAGGTATAATTTTGACTCGTTAACACCAGATAGCTATTGTGTTGTCTGTTGTCATTATTTACTTGACAGGCGAAGGGAAAAGAGGTCTGTGCCCCTGACTAGTCAGGTGTTGCATGTTTTAAAAATTCTTGTGCACACAGGTTGAAAATCTGACTCAGCACAGAGCCTGCTACATAGTATTTATTGAAAGCTGCTGTTTTGAGGAGTGGTGGCATGATAGAGGTATAAGTGTGTAGTTGTGTGTTTTCATGTAAATTCCGCAAAATAGGACTTTTTTTCTTTTCATTTTCTTCTCTATTACCGTACATGGGAAGGTTAATAATTTAATATATATTTTTTAATTCCCATTTATTCTCACCTAATCATTTGAGAGTTAAATATACCTGTCATTTCCTTGACACCTTTTCCTCCCTCTTGTTTCAGCAGTAGCTTTACCATGACAGTTAATTATTTCCCCTGACTCTTGACCAAAATGTACTAAATGAGTCTTTTTACTTCGACAGTATAAATGTTACAACATGCAAACTTGGATAAAGATGACTTAATTAAATTATTTTTCTCCACAATATTTCTGTGGGGAAGAATAGTGTTAATTCTTAGCATTCCTCCCTCACTTCATGCAATATCACAAAAGGTATTAATTAGTGTCCTGTCGCCTTCACTCAGAAATATCTTTTGATTACGTATTTTAAATTACACAGTTTTGATTGGACTGTTAAAATAAATTTTCAGCATAATTTCACACATTTTCAATTTACTGCGTACCCTGGAAGTCAAAGGAGTCCTAAAGCATTTCAGCTTGGTGTAAACCTTGAGCAGTAACTGGGCCTGATGCTGTGCTGAGCTAGGATTTATAAAGATAAATGAAACATGAAACTCATAGTCAAGGACCTTGCAGTATATTGGGAAGTCTCATTGATTAGTGGAAGTTCATCAATCATGTGTGCCTGGTTTACAGATTTTCAGAAGGATGAAAGTTTAAAACTTATTAAGTAGGAAGTTTAATCTTTAAGACCTTTCGAGAGGTTTTGAGTATCAGTTTTTCTGAACCCTGATCAAGTCCCTTCTGACCTTGATTCATCTCTGTTTTCCTAATAACATGACAATTTTTTTAAAAAGGAGAGATTTATTACTCTCTATATTAATTGCCTATTTTATTTAGGTCCTTTTTCCATATCTCGACATTGCCCCCTATACACTTCCACTAATCAGCTGTTTAACCTACATTTGTTTCTCTTGATTGAAGAGGCAGCAAAATGTACAGTAGCTTAAAAAGTCAGTAAATACAGCGAATTTGATTGATTGAAACCTTGTTTCCTATTAGAAGACAAAATAGTATAGTGGCAAAAGCACTGGACTTAGAAAGTTTCAGGTCCCAGCTTTCTACTACTCACCAAGTGACCTTGGGCAAGTCATTTAACCTCTTTAAATACACATTTTCATCTGTAACTGATAATTTATGATTTGCTAAATGAGATTTATAGTTAGACGATAATTAGGTTACAGTTTTTATAAACGTTCTTAAGTTTATAATGACTTTTTCATTTGCATTGAAATATTCGGAAGTTAACGAGAAGAGTAGGAAATCTCTGTAAAGGGAAATAACATTTTCAGTGAATGTGCTTAAGAGAATATATTAAAACTTAAAGGCTAAAAGGGAAGCATCTGTAACAAAAATTAATTAATTTTAAAAACCTTAAAGGCTAAGGAAAGATTAACCAAATTTGAAGAAAGATTTTATATCAGAACTCTAAGAATTAGGCTCATCGTTTTCTGTATTTTAGCCAATAAACCCCAGAATTAAGATTCTTATATTTCAAATGCAGATGTTTATATATTCATCTACATTTAAAAAATTTGTTTTTTTGTTTTGTTCTGGCCAGGTGGCACAGTTGGTTGGAGCGTCTCTGGTACACCAAAAGGTTGTGGGTTCAGCTCCTCATTAGGGCACATACCTAGGTTTTGGGTTTGATCCTCCGTTGGGGTGCATATGGGAGGCAACTGATCAATGTTTCTCTCTTACATTGATTTGTGTGTGTGTGTCTCTCTCTCTCTCTCTCTCTCTCTCTCTCTCCGCCTCTACCCCCTTCCCCCTTCCCCTCTCTCTCAAACTCAATAAAAACATATCCTCTGGTGAGGATTAAAAAAAATTATTCCACAGATTTTTTCTTAACTCATAAATTAAAACATCTATTTTTTTACTAAGATGGAAACGATATGATTGTTAAACTAGGTTAAAATGCAAAAAGGCTTTTCATTCTGCCATATAATAAGTCCTCTGTTTATCAGAATTTAAAATTTCAATACTTTCTTAAATTGTCTAGTTTAGCTGTTGCATAACAACGTTGACCAAAACTGAGTATTAGAAGTATACCTTCAGGTTCAGATGGATTACAAATGAAGGAAACAAAATATTACTCCATTTTCTGGTACATAAAATTCCGTTTTTGGTTTATATTCTTCATGTAAGTAAAATGGTAATAAATCTTTGGGTAATATAGAATCATGGATAGTGAGAATGAATTGAAAAAAACTTTTATGGTTCTTTGGAAAAGGCTTCGGTTGTATAAGAATAAGATCCTGCGTTTTTCTTCATGGTGATCAATATGGTAATAGTAACACTGAACCATTCCAAAGGTTTTAGGAATATTTATTGTATTGTTTTATTCTTAGCAATTATTTTGCTACTTTTTATTTAGAATTAGGATGATTAGTATTATTTTCCGCTAATTGTTAATTGGGACATTGGCAATATAATTTAAAATAAAGTTATAATACCTTAAAAAATATGAAATGAGAAAATGAAAGCTATTCTTCCTAAAGACAACAGAATCTGTATTATGGTATGACTTCTGTATTTGCTTTGATATTCTTTTGTGACCTAAGAGTCTTCATTTGTATTAGGTTTATTTTCAAAACAAACAAAAAAAAACTTTGTACTGCTTAGAAATGCTGTGTGCCATCTTTACATAAGTCATGTTGTAGTTTGAATTTGGATAATGGGTATAGGAGTGCCTCGTTACACTGTACCCAACAGTTATGTATGATAGAAATTTTCCCAAATTAAAAACATGGGAGTAACATTTTTAAAAAATTAGTGGTTAGTAACACATTAAACTCTTCACTGTTGCTATCTAATTTGTAAGATGCAAGTGATACTTATTTCTGAGGTTTGATCTTGTTGCCTTTTTAGAAATGGATTTTTTTCTTGGATTTAACAATGAATGATTTTAGGGTTTTCTTTTAGGTTCATTAAATTTTTATTATGAACATTTTTAAATATAAAAAACCAGATAAAATAGTATGATGAAACCCCACTGTTTCTCAGCTTGATTTAACAATTAGATTTTGTCTTAATTGATACTTCTATCCCTTTTTCTTTTGGCAAGGAGTATTTTAGAGGAAATCTCAAACATTTCATTTCACCCCTACTTACTGCATTTGTGCAAAATAAGGACATATTCTTATATAACCACTTAATATAACCTTTTTTTGTATTAATATCTTTTTACAGTTAGGAACAACAGTTTTGAATGATACTCTAGTTGTATGCTATGAAATATAGCTACATCTGGCTATTTAAATTTACATTAATCAAAATTAAAACTTTAGTTTCTCAATTACACTAGCTATTTCAAGCACACAGTAGCCATGTGCAAATACCGTATTGGACAGTGCAGATAGAGGATATTTTCATCATTGCAGAAAGTTCTGTTGGATAACACTGCTAGGTGCTTTCTGAATCCCTGTAGATAAACCTGAAAGAGATAAATAAACATTTGTGCTTTAAGAAAGTGTGCAGATTGTTTATTTAATATTTGGTATTTTATTTCTTCCAGGTGTTTAGAAAAAGGAACAACAGATAAAGGTAAGACTTAGTCATTTTTACTTCTAATGTACCTCATACTGATTATTATCTTATGATAGAAAATAGAATGAACTTCAGCCTGATAATTTGTTACCATATATAAGTGACCTTTATGTAGTAAATAATTATTGAAATAGATAGAACCTATAGATTAAGGCAGGTTTGGGCAAGTGGAACATTTTGACATTATTTAGAAACCTAATAATGGAAAAGCAAGTTATTTGATGTCAGTTTATTGCATTTTTTAAAGCACCCTCTCTTTTGTAAAGTAACAAAGAGAGAACTGATACACAATATACAGAGTAAAGTGTAGACAAAATCTTGATGCTGATAGAGACTCAAATTATAAATGCAGTTTGAAGAATGTGGAAAGAAAGTGTTCTAAGATTTCAGCCTGGTGAATAATAAATGAGGTCGTTAGGTTGTTCTCTTTAAAGAGTTTTACCAAACCAAATATGTATATTGAATGTAGTCTTCTTATCTGAATTGTGAAGGGAAGCTAATATTCACTTTTTGTCTTTAAATGCTTTTTTAAAAGACTTTGTTCTGGCTTTGCAGATTGAGTTATTAAAATTGACCCAATTATGTTGGGCCAGTTGCTCATTTGTTTCATTATTTTTTCTAGTCATTGGCTGTCTTCCTTGACATTAAGTTTAAATGTATAGCATCCTTCTTAAGACTGAACAGATATACTTTTAAGCACTTTTTAAGCATATTTCATTTATTGTGTCTGACAGGAATCTACTTAATAACTAGAGGGTGACTGGTTAATTTATTCTCTTTCTCTGTCTATACACACACGAACATACATATATATACATATATAGATACGGCATATTTAAAACCTGAATTTTATGCCATTTTAAAGAATGGCTGTGATCGATGTTCTCTCTCATCGATGTTTCTATCTCTCCTTTCCTCTCTCAAATCAGTAAGAAAAAAATAAATAATAAAAAAAGAATGACTGTTAGGAAACTAACTTGAAGTAATGGCTGTTTTGTAAATAGATGTCAGTGCTCAGGTTTCTTTTTTCTCTGAATTTTAGAATCTGAGGCTAGTATTTTTGTAGTATACAAGGCAAAAGTATTTTGTACTAGATAAATTTTTGTGTAGAAAGTTTTATATGACTGTTTTGTCTAGAAATTTTTTGTTTTGTTGCTGTTGTTATTTAGAAAATGGGGTATATCTGCCAAGAATGGAAGGACTTGTGTTCATTTTGGAAATTTTATGAAGTGGGGAAATGTAGAGACAGCTGGCAATCAAGTACCAAAGCAGTTCTTATTTAAAAAAAAATTCCTGGCCAGCCAGTGTGGCTCAGTGGATTGAGTATTGGCCCATGGGCTGAGAGGTCCCGGTTCCATTCCTGGTCAGGGCACATGCCCAGGTTGTGGGATCAATCTCCAGTAGGAGGCGTGCAGGAGGCAGCCCCGATCGATGCTTCTCACTCACATCAATATTTCTGTCTCTCCTTTCATCTCTCTAAAAATAAATAAATAAAAATATATTTGTAAATAAAATAAAATATTCCCAACCTGCCTTCAACAGAGCTAAAATTACTTTGTGTGTCTAAAGAGTATGTCTAAAGAAATTACTTTGGATTGCCTTGAGGATAAAACTTGGAGAATGTGGTTGAAATTTTGAACCCTCTGTTGGGAGATAAATTAATTGCTCTTTGTGTAGATGTATTAAACCAGAAGTTGGCAACTGCTTCTTTTTTTTTTAATCCTCACCCAAGAATATTTTTCCATTCATCTTCAAATGGAGTGGGAGGGAGAGAGAGAGAGATACAGAGAAACATTGATGTGAGAGAGACACATTGATTGGTTGCCTCCCGCACAACCCCAACCAGAGCTGAGGACTGAACTGAAACTGAGGTACGTGCCTTTGACTGGAATCAGTCTGTGGGCCGATGCTCTTAACCACTGAGCAAAACTGGCCAGGGCAGCAATTACTTCTTAAACAGTAGTTGTGCAGCTGTGGAGAGATTAAAACTGCATTATGGGTAATTCAGTCTAGAAATCATTCCTACTCTGGTTCACCAGTTACATGCTCTGAATCTAGAGTGAGACCTTAAGGTTTGAATTCAAGTTCTGTCTTTTATTGCAAATAATTTCAATACCTAGCATCCATTGAGCACTCAGTAAATGGTAGTAGCTGTTAAGTTTGTAAAATCTTGAAGAAATAGATACTCTTCCAGCTCCCGTCTCCGTGTTGTCATCATTGGTTTACTTATTACAATAGCTTTCAACTCTAAACAGTACATAAAAGCTATATCTTAACATCGATTTATACAACTAGATCAGTGAATAAAGAAATGAAGAATGTATGCCCTGGCCAGTTTGGCTCAGCGGTTAGAGCTTTGGCCTGCGGACTAGAGAGACCCGGGTTCGGCTCCTGCTAAGGGCACATACCTGTTTCAGTTTGTCCCCGGCCCTGGTTGGTCGTGTGGATGGCAGCCACTTGATGTGTCCCGTTCACGTCGATGTTTCTCTCTTTCTTTCTCTTCCTCTCTCTCCCTCCCACTCTATCTGTACAAAAAATGGAAAAATGTCCTCCGGTGAGGATAAAAAAAAAAAAGAAAAGGAAAATGTAGTAGTTAAGATACCATTTCCTGTGCTGTTTAATATTTAGAATTCACCTCCTTTCCTTTGTCCTTGTCATGTAACTTCTCAAAAAGTTATTCTGTAACTCCAGAATAGTTTTCATGTTCACTGTGCTGATTTTTTTAAATGTTTTTATTGATTTTTGGGGGGGAGAGGAAGGGAGAGGAAGATAGAAACATCCATGTGAGAGAGATATAGATCGACTGCCTCCTGCATGCCTTCTACTGGAGATCGAACCCACAACCTGGGCATGTGCCCTGGCTGGGAATCGAACCGGCACCTCTCAGTCCGTGGGACGATGCTCAGTTCACTGAGCCATACCAGCCAGGCATTCTGCTGGATTTTAATTGAAGTAACTCACATGTATTCCAAAGATTGAGGGGGGTTTTTTTTTTTATCCTCACCTTAGGACATTTTTCCATTTTTTTGTTCAGATAGAGTGGAAGGAAGAGAGAGAGAGAGAGAGAGACATCAACGTGAAAGGGACACATCGAGTGGCTGCCACCCACACAACCCAAACAGGGCCGGGGACGAACTGCAACCGAGGTACATGCCCTTAGCGGGACCCGAACCCGGGTCTCGGGACCGCAGGCCAACGCTCCAACTGCTGAGCCAAACCGGCCAGGACGAGGTTTTTTTTTAAAACTTTGAACAGGTTGTAATATTTTCTAGAAGTACAACTCCGTGTTTTATTATAATATCAAAAAGATGTTTTAGAATTTTTTAGTCTTATTTACTCCAAACAAGTTGAACTTATATACTTTCCTTCAGTAAAGATAAGAACCTTTGACATGTTTGAATAAATAAATACTATTGCACACACAGAAAAGCAATTTAACTGTTTTTAAATTATTAAGTTGCAAAGTGCCATGTTTGTTTTTCAAACAAATAATAATAAAGAAGAAACATTTTGATATTGGCTTCTGTTCTTGCTACATTTATTTAACCCTAGTGGGTATATATTAAACAAATGGAAAGTTGCTTTGCAAAAATAGTGTTTATTCAACAAGTAATTATTGAGCATCTACTGTGTGTCCAGCACCATTCTAGGTACTGGGTTATATTGGTAATCAAATAGATGCAGTTGGAGGTAGGGAAGCTAATTTTCTATTAAGATGGCAAGGGAAGATCTTGAAAAGGTGACATTTGAGCTTAGATCTGAATATGCAGGTAGATAATCTGGATGAAGAACATTCCCCACAGAGCGAAAAGCAAAAGCTTCAAACGTGAAAGCTTAGTTTACCCACTGTCAGAGGGTTATCATCATCATTGTGGAACTTTCCAGAATATTAGCAGAAATTTTGAGGGGTAGAGACTGGCTAGTTCCTTCTTAGCTTGGCTTTGTTTTCATACCATTCTCTTTGTTTTGAACCAAGGCACATACAATTTCATTCTTAACCCTTAGATATGCTATCAGTTTTAGTTGAAACAACTCTCTTTCAAAAGTTAAACGATACTCTTATAAAGTTGTCTTAAATATAAGTTAAAAGAAAAGAACTCACTTTTCCTGACTTCTCTTAATTCTTCTGAGATTGGCTAATATTTCAATGTGGACCTCACTAATTATTTATGGAAAACAAAGTAGAGCTAATTATAGATATACACAGAGTAGACTGATCAGGTTTCAGAAACTCAAGTTTCTGACTGTTATAAAAATGTTTATGTCTCATGACTGACAGTACATTAGATAGGCATTTTATTTGTTATATTTCCTTCCTCGCCCTTTGTTTTAAGGTAGCAGGAATCATATTACTTCTCCCAGAGTGAGAATGCTCTACTTGGACATCTTGTTCCTTCTTGAGAATGCCCCATATCCTTTAAATCATTTTCCTAATTCAGACATCCAGAAGTACAGACATATCTCATTTATGATGTATCTGGATTGTCAGACAGGTTTACAAAGCCTTGATTAGTAGTAGCTCATTTCAGTTATGGACGTCTTATAAATGAGGTAAATAAGGCTTTGTGTCTCTTTTTACAAAGAAATAGCTTTATAATGTGCCGATTACATTATAAGAACCATCTCTGACACAGTTATATGTTTATTCTGTTATATATAGTAAATATTTTGTATTGAAATTTCTTTTTCTGCTGGAACCACTTGACAGTTGCAGCAGAGTGTCCCGGTAGAAGAAAACTGGAGCAGAAGAAACCTAAGGTCCTGAGTGGGGAAACCTATATTCAGCCAATAAGAATCCAAAACTTCTAAGAGACATCCGTCTCTTCTTGAGGCCCTAATGTTACCCTCACACTGAGATATGATCCTCAGTGGACCAGAACCTCTTACAAAAAGGAATTAGCTCTGATTTAATATCCCCTGACATTTTAAGTCCAAGAAGGATCAAGCTCCTCTGAATTAAAACTAACCAGATTGACCTAACTGCATCTGGCAAAGAC